CTGCACTGATCTGAGTCAATGGCAGATCCTCATGAGATTCGTAGCAATTATGTTGAAGCTCAGACATTTATGGTTTCGTACTGCTATAGTTAATGCCATTAATTATGACCTAATACACTGGAATGGGCGTCCCAGAGTGATCTCAACCCATCCGTTCTCTTTTCATCTCATCCCATGTAATTGTGCTCTCATGGTCCCAAATGACCCACAGGGATCCTCACACGTCTCGGTCAAAAGGTCCCAGAATCCTGCCCCGTTTCCCAGCGGAGATCACAAGCAGAACATACACACCTTCACCCCCGCTGGCCCTGCAGATCATCCTGAACATGCTTCAGTTCATTCGTGAGTCTCAACTCATGTCTTATATCTCAGTCCCAAAAACATGGACATATACTGGGTCAGAAAATTTATGAGGATAGAGGGTAATTAAAGGGATAGTACACTCAGAAATGAAAATTTACTCTTTCTCAAGTGGTTCTAATCCAAACCTTCATGAGTTCCTTTCTTATACTGAACAAAAAAGAAGATATTTTGCATTGACTTGCGTATAGGAAAAGCAAATTGAATGGAAGTCAATGGTCACAGGTAGCTTTCTTCAAAATATCTTCTCAAAGGTTTGAAAATGGTTTTCAAAATGGCACAATTTTAATTTTGGGGTCAACTTTTCCTTTAATGATGTATTCATTCATGTTCGGCTTAGTCCCTTTATAAATCTGGGGTCGCCACAGCGGAACGAACCACCAACTTATCCAGCATATGTTTTACGCAGCGGATGCCCTTCCAGCTGCAACTCATCACTGGGAAACATCCATACACACTTATTGATACTCATACACTACGAACAATTTAGCTTACCCAATTCACCTATACCTCATGCCTTTAGACAGTGGGCACGATGGTTCTTGTGCTCCACACTGAACCACCGAGACGCCCATGTCTCAAATCAGCAAACGATTTTAAATATTTTTTCACTCATAAAACTTCCATAAATGTTATATTACAACATGAAAATGTAACCGGTCTGGACCTCTCTGACTCATAGCTGTCTTGGCCAATATGTCTTGCAGAGCCACAGATGATGAGGTCAAAGCTCAAGTGCATGTGCGAAACTCAAAATGAGGAGCCAGAGATGCCCTGTTGACTCTGCATGTGATCTCACTGCCGTCATTGTAAAGAACTGAAAAGAACATGACAGACTGACAGATCATTAAGAAGATTCATCAGATCATTAAGTCAACAGGTTAAAAAGTTAACGGCAGCAGAGGAAAGACTAGCCAATTAAGAATAGAGAAGTGATACTTTGCCACATGCTTCCAATACTGGCTTATAGTGTATTAAAAGCATGAACTGTTGGTGTGAGAATTGCCAGTTTTGCAGTAGAGCGAAACAGGGTACTCTGCCCCTCTTTATATGTACAAAATAAAATATATGTATAATTAAAAAAGCACATATTATGGATAAGCACATAGTTTTAACATTTTAATGACATTAATTTTTCTAATTAAATATAAAGATTATCAATATATATATATATATATATATATATATATATATATATATATATATATATATATATATATATATATATATATATATGAATGCATTTTTCTATTTCTTTATTTTTATGTATTTTCAAATTTTATTGTGTGTGTTTGTGTCACATTTAATAATTTTACAAATATAACATACATTTTTAAATTGTAGTATATCACAATAAAAACATACAACTATAAGAAAGTTAAGCATTTAAGTAAGAAAAGCATAAAGCATGAATATTGTCACGGTTCTTGCCCTGAAAATTTTGGTTCAGTTCAATCCACAAACTTGACTTCGCTGTGGTCTTGATTTGTTAGAACTTTTAGTACTAAAAATCTGATCTGACCGATTAGTAAAACTCAATAATTGATCATTTTCAGCAGCAATAATCAGCAAATATTCATTCTTTTGTTCAGTTCACTGCCATTGTTTACATTCTGCATTCCAATATGGCCGACTGATGATGCATCATGAAAACACTCTATGCTATACACTACCTGGCAAAAGTCTTGTCATAAATCCCTGTTGTACAAAGCAACAAATAATAACTTGACTTCTAGTTGATCATAAGGAAAAGTGGCAGAAGGTTGATTTTTTTCATGAATCATCTGTTGACCTGCATCCCAATCATCACAAATACTGCAGAAGACCTATTGGAATCTATAACCTATAATGCACCTTGACTTTATATTCTATTCTGTTAAGTGACAAGACTTTTGTCTAAGCAAAGTCAGACCTAATTAAATAACTAAAAATAAAGGCATGATCATGTTTTATTTTAGTAAAATAAGCGTAATCTAGAGGCCTTTGCCTTTCACATAAGCCACTTCTGAAACCAAACAATCAACTAGAAGTCCATTTATTATTTGTTGTTCCTAAAACTTGGATAGGCGACAAGACTTTTGTCAGGTAGTGTATATTCAAAAACTGGTGTTGTTTTCTCTAGCATGTTACACTTGTGACTTTCTCTGTAGATCAGGGCAGATGCAGCAGAAACATCTTGTCAATAGATCAGAACAGCTGCCAACAATTAATGACTAATAGCTTTGGCCTACAACTTTACATGACTGTTTGAACTAAACAGATGAGATTTCAGATGAGATCTCTTGTGTGCACCAGGGTCTTCAAAACAAAGAAGTTCTCATTCTGCAATCCAGAATCAGGATAGATTGGTCCCCCTTGTGATTGAGATCATTGTTAAGCTGCAGATGAAAAGCATTTCTGATTAAATGATGCACAATTGGGATTTTCAAATGTCAGAATATCAGAAACTATGCCAATAAGAAGATAAGTGGATTTTCAAAGTAGAGCCAAAAAACAACTCAGTCTTATTGTGCTTATATAAGTTTACACCTACTTGGAGTTTTAATCGAATAGAAATAATAGCTAAATTATTACCCATATAACTATAATTATATATATCTGTGTTCATATGCCCATGTATGAACATAATGTATTACTATATCCACTATATTTAACATAGGCTCATTCTGAAAACGTAGCTTTATATACATTTAGGGAGATCGCAAATTATGTAGCCAAAGTTTATATGACTGTATTTCGTCTTTAAAACGCTATGGGGCAGTATGATGCCGTTTCCTTTTGTGCTTACCAGCTGACCGCTTACCTCTGTATCACCGGCTTTCCTGCTGTTACCAGTTTGTCCAGTGGCTTGCAATGTACGTTGGCATACTTTAAATGCACAGAGGAGTTCATCACGACAATGGGGTTTGAGTCTGGCAAAGAACAGTTTTCAGAACGCGGTTAAGACCAAAACAGAATCCAAAAAAATAAAATAAAAAAGCAAATAACAGGGTGAGAATGTGGTAAAATCTGAAAACATGGTGAAAATCAAGTGAGAGCTTTTCTTTTTCTGGATTCCTTTTTAAAACTGTTGCTTCATTTGAGGGAATTGTGTGGGCGGGTCAGTCAGTGCTTTTGAAAACACTATTGGTTGGGTTTAGGGAAGGAGGAGGGTGGGTCAGTCAATTCTGTACATGTCCTTTTTTGCGCCTAAATGAACGTTAAAAGCTCCTTAACTGTTTGTGATTCGGCTTTCGCTTTCTACAGTCATCATTAATGCATTTTTAGCATTACTTTTAGCCTTCTCTTTAAACCAGGCTTTGTTGTATGCCACCAATGATTGATCATGTACTTTACATTTCAGTGGGCGGCACACAAGTGTATAATCATAAACATTTAATAAATTTTGCATTAAATTCCATTTACCCCACATGACAATCATGATTATCATTATTTCATAATTATCTGTATCTAATCCTTCACCTTATACACTCATCGGCCACTTTATAAGGTACACCTGTCCAACTGCTGGACAGGTATACCTTATGGGTGGTCTGAGTATTTCAGACCACCCATATATTGCCACAATCTACCTGAGCATTGTTGCTGATCATGTTCCACTTTTTTTGACCTATCATCTAATGGCTACTTCCAGCAGGATAATGCACCATGTCATAAAGAATGAATCATCTCAGACTGGTTTCTTGAACATGACAATGGCCTCCACAGTCACCAGAACTCAATCCAGTAGAGCACCTTTGGGATGCGGTGGAACGAGAGATTCGAATCATGGATGTGCAGTCGACAAATCTGCAGTAAATGTGTGATGCTATCATTTCAGTATGGACCCACAATCTCTAAAGAATATTTCTAGTACCTTGTTGAATTTATGCCACAAAGGATTAAGGCAGTTCTGACCCGGTAGGCTACTAGTAAGGTGTACCTAATAAAGTGTCCGGTGATTGTGAGTGTACATATATGTATATATTTTTACTTTCTCAACTTTTATTTCATACAACAGTTTAATGTATCTGTATCATATCTTATAACTGTTATTTTTTTATTTCATAAATGACAACTTTTTGTAGGCCTCCAGCTTGTCGTAAAAATGAGACTTTTATTTTAAATTACATTTGTTAACGATAGTTTAACTGTTTCAGCATTAATTAAGTTTAATTATACTTTCCATTTAACATATTGACCACTTTGAGGGATGTAAAAAAATAAAAAAGGGTCACAACAAATTTCCTGTTTTACATTTTTAATTTATATGGCTTTTGAGACTCATGTTATTTTTGATCAATATTGTTATTGCTGTTTTAACATTAAGTTATGATTGAATTGCTTCTTATTACAGTTATGATATAGTTTGACAACTACCAGGAAATGTTTATGGGCCATTGACATTACCATATTGAAATAGTCTGTATAAGAGAATCAAATATTATGAAAAATAGCATAACTATCCTATTTATTAAATAGTACATTTATTTGAGCAGACCTTTATTTTTTTTAAACCTCAAAAATACATGTAACAGGATCTCAGACACATATTTTAATTCTTTTTAGTGCTGACTTGACTTGAAAGCATTGCGCAAAGCACTCGGTTGTTTGTTTTGCTCTCCACAGTAACTGCCTGTGTAAAGCGCGCCACCAGTCTCCTCGTGCACAGGAATCTACAACAAGTCCCACGTGAACAGCGTCGCCCTTAGCAACCACCGTCACTAAATGACAGTAAAATATATTAACCGCCGTGGAAGACGAAAATAAACACGACATACTCATTAGCCGTGTTAATTTACCGAAGGTTTGTACTTTTTATATCTTCCAATAACTTTATGCCTCTTAATTTACGGGATGCCTGTCAGCTGCTGTGATTTGAAGTGAGGTAACGTTAGATTTAACCGATTTCTATTATGTCGACCGCAATGTAACATTGTATTGCAGCATTTCATTGAAATACAGTGATAGATAGTCTACATTGTAACAGTGTTTGTTTATGTTTGCTTTTGTGTAACTTTGTATCTTATATTACGGTCTGTGGATAGGGATTATGGACAATAAACTGACGAAAAGTGAAATACCTCTTTACGGATCTGGCATGTTTCACCCTAAACCTCCAAACAAGTCTAGAGAGACTCACAGGGGCAAACTTCTGCCTTTAAGGGGCATCTACTCTGAGCTCATAACTAACATTAAATCAGACAAAACACAACAGGTAAACAGCTTTTTTCTTCTTGTATTGCTTCTTCCTATCATTTATTCCCTTAGTAAGAGCCCTTTGAAAACTGTTTATTTTTTCTTCGAATTTTATTTTCCTCAGATTTTTTTTTTATTATACTGCCGGCCAAAAGTTTGATTTTTAAAGTTTTTTTTTTGGTAAATAAAATTATTTTGTTCATCAAGACAGCATTTTTTAAATGGGTCAGTTGGCGTTTCTGTATGGAGTTTGCATGTTCTCCCCGTGTTGGCGTGGGTTTCCTCCGAGTGCTCCGGTTTCCCCCACAATACTCTATAGGTAAATCGGGTAAGCTAAATTCTCAGTGGTGTATGTGTGAATGAAAGTGAGTAGGTGCTTCCCAATGATGAATTGCATCTGGAAAGGCATCCGCTGCGTAAAAACATATGCTGGATAAGTAGGCGGTTCATTCCATTCATTGCATTATTTATGTCATTATTTGCATTATATGTTTTATGATGTAATACAGTATGTACAATATGAAATGTATTACAGATAATATTTTATCAGAAAAAAAATGTAATCAAAAGAATCCATAAAACCTGAAAAACATGTTAATGTTGTAATATTAACAAGGTCCTACATGACATTTATTTATTTATTGCAGCAGATGCCTTTCCAGCTGCAACCCATGACTGGGAAGCATTCATACACTTTCATTCACACACATACACTATGGACAATTTAGCTTTCCCAATTCACCTATAGCACATGTTTTTGGACTGTGGGGAAAACCGAAGCACCCGGTTCGAACCAGTGACCTTCTTGCTGTGAGGCGACATCACTATCCACTGTGCCACCCTTCACCACCCTTATTTATTTATTTATTTATTCTAAATTCCATTTTATCTTATAATTTTTTTCCAAGAACTTTAATCAAGTGACTAACATAGTTCATGTAAAGCTGTTAAAATGTTAATAGATACTAATAAACATAATTCTAGAAAATAATTTTAGAATTTTCCAAAATTCATATAATTTTTTTTTTCACAAATCAATTAATATTCATAAACTCCTTACACAAAAATTCATTAATTCATTAATCTATTCATTCATTCATTCATTCATTCATTTTTAAAATGTTCTGTCAAATAAACAGTTGAGTATAAAATGAAGTATTAAAGCATAAAGCAGTAAATCTACGCAGTTTGCATTGACTTCCACTATTTTGCTTGTGTTTTCCACATCACAGAAATCATGGGGCCCTACTAATTCACACAATTACACACATACTGTATAATTACACACATCTTAAACTTATAAACTATAATCACCAAAACTAATGCTGTTTTTAGTTTTACAAACAAGGTCCAGTGTCCCAGCAAAGTTTACTGTGCCAGGGGGGACGCAAGTCCAACTCCTGCAAAAGTAAGAAATCAACCAACACTTAAGTCAAAACACAAATGCTCAAACTAATCACATTTTCTTTTGATGTTTGGTCTACCAGCTATGTTGAAAACACCTCTTGACCTGCACAGTGCTATGGAGAAAGACTGGAATGGACCGGGCCCACAACTGCAGCAAGAGACAGATTTTTACTCTGTCAGTTACACCCCTAAAGTTCAGCTACCTTATATTTGCCCCCCAGGACATGTGCCCCGCAAGATCGAGATTGAGAGGTGAGCAGTTCAGATAGATATATTAAACCAATGGTCCTTAACTGCTGGGTCACAAACCAAAAATGGGCCTCAAGTCTGTTTTGGTAGAAGCAAATTAAATTAGATTACAGCATATTGACATCCTTAAAAAATAAAGAAAAGATTTGTAAAGGGACACAAGGTTAAAGTAAATAGACATTTGAATAAAGGGAAACAATCATTGTTTTTTTATTATATATATATATAATACACTACTACTTGTTATTTATATTCTTTTAAAAGACTTTAATATTTTTATGTTTTAAATTGATATTAAAAAGTTAAAAATTTATTATTTTCCAATAATTTCTATTTCAAACAAATACAGGTTTTTTTCCAAAACAGAATACAAAATAAAATAGAATATATAATTATTAACGAGCCCAGTGGTTTTCAACAATAATATTATTATGAATTGAGCACCAAATCAGATGGCACAGCAAGAAGGTCGCTGGTTTGAGTCCCGGCTAGGCCAGTTGTCATTTCAGTGTGGAGTTTGCATGTTCTCCCTGTGTTGGCATGGGTTTCATCTGAGTGGTCCGGTTCCCCCCACAGTCCAAAAACATGCACTATAGGTAAATTTACTGAATTAAATTAGCCTTATTGATAGTGTATGGGTGTTTTCCAGTACTGGGTTGCAGCTTGAAGGGTATCCGCTGTGTAAAACATTTGCTGGAATAGTTGCCGGTTCATTTCGCTGTGACGACCCCTGATAAATAAGAGACTAAGCTGCAAGAAAATGGAGCACCTGGAGGAAACCCACGCTGACACAGGGAAAATATGCAAACTCCACGCAGAAACGCCAACTGACCCAGCCTGGACTCGAACCAGTGACCTTCTTGCTGTGAGGCAAAAGTGCCAACCATTGAGCCACCAATATTGCCCTCTCCCAAACTTTTGAAAAGTAATGTGTGTTTATTTTTACCTGCTACAATTTTGTGTATTTTTGAAGACAGTTTTTTTTACTTGTGCACAAATTTAGTAATGTTTGATATTGAACAATATAAATATACAGTACACAGTAAATATCCTCATCTGTTTAAAAAAGTCTTGTTGAAATTTTACTGTTGCATGTTTTTATGTATGAATTGTATTACCTGAATGCATAAACAAAGATTTTTTTTTTTTCAAAAAGATTTTAAATGTAACAGGGTTCAACGCTAAGGATTTTTTCTACTGGTCTGATCGGGCCAATGGTTCAGATTTTTACTTGCCCTACCAAAATTTTCACTGGCCCCACCAAAAAAAGAAAGGGAAGTTAATAGCAATTTTTCCTATACATATTTTAAATAATGTGTCAAAAATAAAGTCTGTGAATCTAAAATTTTAATACTTAAAAAAAGTTGTAAAAAAAAATTGTTATGCAAACAAAAGGAGCAGTATGGAAAATAAGGAGGTATTTTATTGTGGTTTGAAATTATTTAACAAAGGGTGGCTGACTTGTCAAACTGAAGGCAACTTTTCCGTTGTTCACATGTAAATTACTGCTTCCAAGACGTTAGAAACAGATATTTTCTTTTAGCCTTAGAATTTGATGTTGCCGCCATGCTGTCATTTCTTCGCTGTACTGGATGTTACCAGGTTACGGAAAAAAATAGAATTCTGTTTAAAGACTTAAAAGCACAAACTTAAAATGCACGCAATTGATAAATAGTCACAGACAAATTAAATGTTAGTGTCAAGGCAGCACTGTCCCAATTGGGCCAGTAATGATCCGGTCTACTGTCCCAAGTGTCTGTCACGCTGGCCCTGGGCCAACGGGCAGTCCTTATTGTTGAGCCCTGCGTAATATGGATTATTGTTGTATTCTGTTTTAATTCTCAGACGCAGGAGGGAGTATCAGAAATTAGATATAAGTAAACTTTTGTCAGAGCAAGGCATCAACTCTAATCAGCTCATACCCAGCAACCAGACAAGAACGGAGACCAAAAACCAGCCTGATCCAAACTACCTGTCTTTGGAGGTCATGCATGTTCCTTGTATATTAATTTTAAGTATTTACATTAATTTTATTGTCCCTGTTTGCTCAGGTCATTATTTAGGCTTCAGTTTAAAATCAGGCACACTTTCTACATCATTGGTCGTATGCTTCTCTTTTTATATTCATTCAATTTCCAGATATTCGACAATGAGGAGTTTGACTGCCGTACTCCAGAGGAATGGCTGGCTTTAGGTTATGAGCCAGGCTCCATGAATCGCAAACCCATTCCAGCCAAAGCCCTGTTGCCGACAAAAAACAGCATCCCACCTGGTACGATACTGTCGAAACCCTCTGCAAATACCTGACTTATTGTAGTCGAATGGATCCCATCAAATGTCTTGTAGCTCCTTCTGAAAATAAATTCATATTACAGCCTATCCATTGGGAGCCATATGAGCACATGTGGGAAAAATTAAAGGTCTGTTCTTCGTGTGTTTGAGGTGCAGTGGATCCACAGAGCCCGGCTGTGGAGTATTCTTGGCAGTCGGTTGGGGTACTACGGTACAGCCAGGAAAAGAAGCAGTATTTGGTGCATAAAGCAGACTGTAATGGATGGGTCCGAGATTTCATGGGAAACCCCATTTTAAATGGAGGACAGAGAGAAGGCATGTGTAAAAGCCATTTACAATGCTTGGTTGTTTTTCTTCTCCTGTTGACATAATTTCTATTGATATAGGAAAGTTGACATATCTGATTAATGAACTGTTTAATTCAGTGATACGGATTAACTTTTATGAACTGTTATGTTTCTATTCCACTCTTCCTTCCTTTACAGGGGTTTTGCTGGAGAGCCAGTATTGGGTTCCCAGGATCAGGTTGCTGTTTTGTGCGGAGGATCCACGTGTCTTTGCTCAGAGAGTCCAGTTTGCAGAGAATTTGAGACAAAACACAGAGGCTTCAAATTTATATCATCATTCTGTTGATTGTATGCCAGTGTGGCATCTCCATCCCACCAGTTTAGAACGCATCAGAAAATATGCACTTTCCACATCAGGCCTGCAACTTAAATGGTAAGTATTTGATTAACAAAAATATAGTAAATACATTTGAATATACCAACAAATTATGTATATATTTTTAAATGACAATTTTTTTATCAATAAGAATACGTTCAGTTTGTCAAAAGTGACCATCTTTTGTACGTTTTTATCAAAGGTGTATGAATCCACAAGTTTACACAAAATATTAAGCAGCAGTACTGGTTTCTGTATTCATAATAGAAAATCCATAAATCAGCAAATGAGGATGATTTCTGAACCGACACTGACTACATTTACATGGACATCAGCAATCAAATTAATTGCCAACTGTTCAAAACTTATTAAGACAGTAATTTGATTAAGGTGTTTATATTTCAGTTCCTTCCATAGTTCCGTTTTTACATGTTATAGCAAATAGTTTGATTAACGTCATTGCTATTCACATTTCTCCGGATTTGCATGTAATTTCGGGCATTTAATTTATTGTTTTTTTACTTTAACTGCTGTCTTGCAGTTTCACTTTTATTCAGGAACATTTCATTCATGCGTGGCGAACTGAGGTATCCGCTTGTTAAGTGGTGACGTGTTGGTGACGTATGTAATACTGTTTCCAGGTCCAAGCCGCCATTCATTTGAGTGGAGAAATCATTCGTTTATGATCACGTTTTATTCCTATCACACATTAAAGTTAATTTTATATGAAATCATAGTGTACACAACAATCTCTGGGCTTGCTGCATAACAAATACCAAAATTTCAACAATTTATAAAAAAATGAATCACTTTCTGGCCATCGGATATTAGGCATGGACATATATATTGCGATCGTGATTTTCGAAAGTATTAAATCGCTTTGTAAACGTTTATTATTACCATTTCATAAGTCTCTCCATTCAGTTGAATAGAGCGCTTGGACCCAGAAGCCGCTTCACTTGACGTCACACTTAACAAGCGGATTGGATGCACATATGAAGTAAGGACTGGTGGAAAAGTATTGTTTTAATGGAATTTGATACCGCACGCCAAATGGAAAGAAACTTCAACTCATTGATCCCTATGGGTTCTATTTTGACGGTCCATGCGCAAAGCGCAAAATGCAGGGCGCAAATGCTTTCAGGGCGTGTCAGGACGCGTTTTTGCTAATTTAAGGACGGGAAATCTGCCTTGCGCTTCGGCGCATGGTCTAAAAGGGTTGAGTTTATTTTCTTAATGAGTTATAGGTGTGTTTTAAGAATAAACCTATTAGAGTCTCATCTCCCATTCCCTTTAAGAGTCAGCTGCGTCGCACCAAGAGCGGATTCGCTATTTACAGGACGCAAAGTAAGTCTAAGTGGAAAAAATGAGCATTTCACAAGCAAACAGTTAACAGTTTTTTAACAGAAAACTGTTAAACAGAGCATCTACTGCGTGAGAATGAGAGATAATGGATCACTTTCACTTTCGCTCTTGGATAGGGAACCCTTTACGCACAGACATCAATTAGTCTATAAATAAATAACTTTGTTTGTTAAGCGCAAATATTCGTTTCAAAACTATTCCTAAATTCAGTTCTAATTTCCAGCAAACGAATAAATGAATAATAATAGCAAAATGTGCTCAAAAACCTGAGTTATATCCTAAAACACATGCTTTGCCCCATATGGTCTTAAACCTGACAGGTGGGCAAATCTAAGCTTGTTTTTAATAAAACACTCTGCGCCGGAGTTTAGAACGGGTTAGTTTTGGTCTAATGAAAAATCTATTATAGTTTCTCAAAATAGCAACGCGCCAGTGGTCCGCCTCAGAACGCCTTCCTTTTTAAATCAGAACGCCTATGGGCGCAAAAATGAGTGCTAATGCATTTGCTATTTAAACAGCGTAGCGCAACACCTCAAAACGACTCTTGCACCAAGCTTAAACTACCAAAAGACTACTGCGTCACGCCTTGCGCCACACTGCGCCGGGTGTATGATAGGGCCCTATGTGTGCACGTGCCTGTTACACACCATACAGTTGCACTTAAATGATGTCTGACGCTCATAATTATCATAGATAACATGTTTTTGTTTGTAAAGTCTACAGGAATGCGAGAAGCAGCTGGAGAAAGAGCTTAATTTGGAATACAGCCGCACTCTGAACCAGATGTGCTTTAATAAGGTGGTACAGGACAAGCCAGAGGACATCACACTTCCTCAAACCCAACCCGAGAGCATTCCTGAGAGAGGTAGAGACTATGATGGACATCAAAAGCAAAGAGACTGCTTTCAGACTGTCAGGGCTTTAACAGTGATTTATTTTATGGGCCCACACACATATTGCTGTCTCCTTTCCTTCTAGGCTTCGTGTCAGTCCCAAACTATCCTTTTGAGAAGAACCGTGCAGCTTTTGTCTTTAATTCTCTGCTCACTAAGGCTGAGGTGATCGCGGTGCTGTCCAGAGTAAGAGAAGAGTGCAACCGGGTGGCAGAAATGAGCCTGTTTTATGTCAGCTTCACAAAGTCACTTCGTTTAGAGGAGTTTGAGTCCGCACAGTCCCAGAAACATTCACAGGTAAATAAACTTCCAACTACACATACACATACAAATGTACCTTCCATCACACACTTGCTCTGTCTTCCTACAGATCCATTTGTTTCTAGAAGAGTCATGGTTGCCTGCTTTATGTAATGGCATATCGTCTAATCTGCGCGATGAGAGATGTAGCTGGTACAACCTTGCAGTCTCCCGCTGTGATGTTTACCGCATGTCCAAACTGTGTCGCCTGATGGCGCTGATTCGCAGCCTTCAACAGGACTCACTCAGGTTCCTGGTTCAAGGCTCTTTGGCCAGCTTGACCAAATTAATTCTTGATGCTTGTCACAGTGTCCTGCAATGCCCTCAAGAGCTGACCTGGGGTCCCGATCTCATAAACAGCCCATATAAGTATGTGAATTCTCATTTTCATCGTTAAATATGCTTTATTATTTCTACATTTGTAAATCAGTGGTTCTCAAACCAGGAGCCAGTGTACACTAGGGGGACTCTGCAAACTTCTACAGTGACCCTGATAGGTCTAAATAATATTTTGTAAAGATTCATTAATTTGTGGTGGTAATTAGTGGTGGTACCAAAATTAGGCACTTAAGTAAGGTACAGATACCCCATAAATAATCCTCTTTTAAAAGTCCTTCTTTTTAAAATATTTAGTAAAACACTAAATATTTCATTTTGAATAAAAGTACAATTAATTACTGATGAATTATTGTTCTTCATTATGTTCAGTATATTTTGTAAGATAGTTGAACTACCAAAAACTTCATTTATTCATTCATTCATTTTCTTGTCGGCTTAGTCCCTTTATTAATCCGGGGTCACCACAGCGGAATGAACCACCAACTTATCCAGCACATTTTTACGCAGCAGATGCCCTTCCAGCCACAACCCATCTCTGGGAAACATCCACACACACATTCACACACACACTTATACCCTACGGACAATTTAGTCTACCCAATTCACCTGTAGCGCATGTCTTTGGATTTCGGGGGAAACCAGAGCACCCGGAGAAAACCCACGCAAACGCAGAGAGAACATGCAAACTCCACACAGAAACGCCAACTGAGCCGAAGCTCGAACCAGCGACCCAGCGACCTTCTTGCTGTGAGGCGACAGCCCTACCTACTGCACCAATGCTTCGCCCGCTACCAAAAACTTTTTTTACTTTAATAAACATACTGATAATTCAAGTGAAAACATCAGTGAGTTGTTTACTGGAGACTCACTCTAAACAGATCATTTGAATCAATGAGTTGTTTGCTACTGGAGACTTACCCCGAACAAATCATTTTAATCAGTGAGTTGTTTACTGGAGACTCACTCTAAATAAATAATTTTTATCAGTGAATTATTTAATGAACAAGGGGTGTTCAAACTCGGTTCTGTAGGGCCAGTGTCCTGTATAGTTTGGCTCCAACTACCTTCAACACACTTGGCTGGAAGTTTTATTATATCTAGTAACAGTTTGATTAGCTGGTTCAGGTGTCTTTAATTGGGGTTGGTTTGGGCATGGTGGCGCGTGGGTTTCTCTGGGTGCTCCGGTTTCCCCTAAAAACATGTTAAATTGGGTAAGCTAAATTGTCCGTTGTGTATGTGTGTAAATTAATGTGTATGGATGTTTCCCAGTGATGGGTTGCAGCTGGAAGGATATCCGCTGTGTAAAACATATGCTGGATAAGTTGGCGATTTATTCCACTGTGGCAGCCCCAGAATAATAAATCATTTAAACCGAAAAGAAAATGAATGAATGAATGGTTTTGGCACCCCTGCTGAAGATTCACTCCAAACAGATCATTTGAATCTTTGAATTGTTGACTCTGAACAGATATCAGTTCAATTCATAAATTAAATGCTTAGAACAATTTATGAACTTATTTAATAGGCTAACTGAAATAAATTCAGCTTGTTCATGAAAAAAAAAAAAAAAACACTATCTCGTCTCTGAGCAGGTGACAATTTCTCTCCATCAAAATAACTATTTACTCAACTTCATTTAGGAAATGTAGTGGAGAAAAAAGTACAATATTTTGTTTTGGAATATAGTGAAGTAAAAGTAAATGTTTCCTAAAATAAAAATACTGAAAAAGTACAGATACATAAAAAGTATATACGTAATTATAATTAAATAAATAATGTAAGTAAAGAAAAAATACAAATATTGGTCACACTTTATTTTAATGGTCCGTTTGTTGAATTTAAGTTACACTGCATCTACGTACATGCAACTAATTCCCATTAGATTATAAGTAGACTGTTAGGTTGGGGTTAGTGTAAGTTGACATGTACTTGCAAAGTTTCTTATAGTCAGTTAAATGTCTGTTGTAGGAGCAGTATAAACAGATATTAAGCAGACAGTCCACTAATACTCAAAATAAAGTCTTACCAAAATACTTACTGTCCATCACTGATTAATGTAACATATATTCCACAAATAGTAACTTAAATCATAGTTGATCAAAACTAGATTGTTGAAAACAATATATTGTTTCATTTGCTATAAACATTTATTATACACATCATACCAACAAACATATGCATACTCACATGCTCCTATCATCCAGCACCATATAATTCTGTGCACTCTTTGCAAGTTTTTCTTTCCCAATGTTTTTATTAAGTAAGCTGTTTGGAGTAGGATTTGTTTCAGATATAAATTGACTTTTACATTAACTAAAACACTAGTATCAAGAGGTCTAGTATAGATCAGCTTAGATATAAGGGTGTCTCAATGTTCTATTTGTCATTGTATCATACATAACATACACAATCTGACATGACATTTTTTGCAGGCCAAAAAAGAAGCCACTTTTCTCAGTGGATTTGGTGCTTGACCAGACTGGGGTTCACTATAGCACTCCTCTAGAGAGCTTTGAGACCTCCGTTATCAACCTGTTTGATAAAGGAATCCTGTCCACACACAACGTGCCTCAAGTAGACAAGGTTCTGTATTTGATCTCAGGCAGATAAATAAGTTTTATGATGAGATAAACTCTAAATAAATATTCAAAGCAACTTCTTATACTATTAAAATCAAATTAATTAAGGGTTATGACCTGCTTTGTTGTTTCCCATTCCCTCAGTTTGTATTGCCGAACCTGTTTATTGTTGGAGAAGTGTTATGGTCAGTGGGCTTGTGGGAACCTGAAGTCAAGAATCTGAGGGAGAGTATCAGTAAAGCTCTGAAACAGGCCATCATTCCTCTCAAAGCCTACACCCGTGAATATGAATGCTACCTTGAGCTCTACAACTCCGACGTCAACACATATCTTGAGTACATCTGTATATTGTCGCCTAGTTTTCTGTTAGATATAAATGGTTGTATAAAATGTGTATATAGTTTGATGCAGGCTGTAATATAATACAAACCAAGGATTGTTTTTCTGCATATATTTTAATTTCTCCAAGGTTGCACAGTCAGGAGAACCAGACACCTCAGGAAGTGAAGCAGGAGGTTCTGGAGCACCTGATGGAGGTGGAACATTTAAATAAGTCCATTCCGTCTGCCATTATCATCGGACCGTTCATGGTCAATGTCGAAGCCATCCGGCAAAGTCTGGTAAAGAAACGGAAAGGTCTTGCCAAAGCATTGCTAGACCGTCTTGCCCTGAGATTACGTCAACAGATGCAGGATGTAAGTCATGGTTCATTAGAACTAGATGCATTTTTAAAGGAATAGTTCACCCAAAAATGAAAATGACCTCATCATTTACTCTCTTGCATGCTGTTTTAAACATTTAGTCATTTCTTTCTTTTAGTTTCAATCTCTTCTTCTTCATAAAAAGAAGATTTTGAAGAATGCTGATTGCTGGACTTCCATCGTAGGATAAAAATTCTATGGAAGTCAATGGGTACCAGCAACCATCATTTTTCGAAATATCTTAATTTGTGTTAAATTTTTGGGTGAACTTCCCCTTTAATTCTAAATGCAACACAAAGATCACACCAAAGTGACAAATGTTGACAAATGTAAACAGTAACCAAATTATAGCACATCACTTCTCAGACATTCTGTGACCAGTTAAGTGCATGTTCAGTCATTGAGAATATTCTCTGACAGACACCAAAAGACTCAACGTTGATCACATTGACTAACCCAACAAAACGTTGTTGCAAATTGGCCTTTATATGTAATTATGCATGTATTTTAGGCATGTAAGGAGTGTAAAGCTATCAGCAAAAAGCTGTTTGAGAAGCCCAGCAGCATTGAGGAGCTCACAGAGCAAAGAGAATGGATGAACCAAGTCCCTGAACAACTAAAAGCGCATGAGGTACTGTACAGTTACTGGTAATCAGCAATACACCATTAATTCATAAGATTAGTCCAAATGTGGGATATATGTACACTTGAAAATCATACAGATTTGAGATATTGGTCTGTTGTCTTTGCACAGCAACTCATTAGCAAACTCAGCAAACACCCAGAACATCCAAGTAATGTACACAAACATCCAATAAACATCCAAGACTTTGTTGTGTGCTAAAATAACTTAAAATATCACTGCAACTGCATGCTTTGAACTTTAACATTCATAAAATGTAACCATGGCGATTTTAGAAAATTGGGATTGATAAATTATCTTAAAGCTGAATAAATAAGCTTTCCAATAGGACAATATTACGTCAAGATTCAACTATTGTGTTAGACCAAATCTAAAAACTGAGAAAATCACTTTTAAAGTTGCCTATAGGACATGTTTAGCAATGAATATCACAAATTTGATTTTGATATATTTACAGGTGGAATTTTACAAAATGTCTTGGAGTGTGATCTCAATAGTTTTCACATCAAAGAAAAATCGAAAGTTTTAACCAATACAATGTATTTTTGGCTGTTCTCATGAATATACTTATGCATTAGACCAGGGTCCACGTTCACAAATGTAAAAAATCTAGATGGCAATGTTTGCATTTAATGTGAAAGTTTAATAAAGAAGTGACAGAAAGTGGTGACATCATTCTTGTTTAGATAATATTTTGAAAGTCTCATTATTGCACTGTTGTGGAACTTGAAGTACATAAACTTTTCCTGTTTTCCTTTTCTGATGGCCTCTTGCAGGAGATTTTATCTAAAGCCATGTCTGATTATGATCTAATAGATGAATTCTATTACAGTCTTTCCGATGAGGAATTCAAAGAGAAGTGAGTATATGATACTATAGCAGATGCTAGGATTGATCTGTGATGCTAGGATCTGTGTTATAAAATCAATGCTAAATTTTGTGTAGGTGGTCAGCAATGGCCTGGCCCCATAAGATCCTGACCCAGATGGAAACAGTGAGTGCTCAGCATGTTGACGATGAAGAACGTTTCGATAAGATCCAGGTTGCAGATCAAAACAGCTTCCTGGAACGCTTGAGTTTCCTCGAGGTCAGGTTTGCTCAGTTACCATAGAGTCAAAAGATACCCAAGCATTACAATGAAGTTTTCTTTGTTCATTTTCAGATGGTGGTGGCTGGATTTTCTGGTTATACAAACCTTGAGCGAGCACACGAAGTGGCAAATGAAGTGCGGAGAGTAGGCAAACAGCTGAAAGAGTGCCAGGAAATGGCGCAGCTTTACAATAACCGTGAACGACTCTTTGGAAAACCAGTTACTAATGTAGGTTTGTACTACAGAATGAGGATTTATTGTTTCATGATCTAATTTTGGAGACATTACATCTTTTCATAGTTAATTGATAAACAATTTAGTTAAAAACTACACTTAAATAACAAGATTTGTGCTGCTTGTTCAAACTACTTTTTTTTTAAATGAGCTGAATAAACACAGATCTTGAGTTTTTTGGAGGGATTAATTGTTTTATATTCAATCCACTTAACTTAATCAATTTTTGTCAGGAAAACATAAATGAATTGTGTGGAACGCTGCATTCTTTCATGATGATTTCGTAATTATTATATGCTTGTGGTCTAGTACACAGAGTTACAGAAGCTAAACCGAGACTTTCAGCCTTTTCATGACCTGTGGAAAACAACATCAGATTGGCTGCGATGGCATGAAAGCTGGCTCAATGACCCGCTGGCAGCCATCAACCCTGAACAGCTGGAGCGTAATGTCACTGATGCTTACAAGACTATGCACCAGTGTGTCAAACAGTTTAAAGATCTTCCTGGTAAATATAATGCACATTTGGGATATTTGAGCTGACAGTCAAATCCGATGTCAAGAATGAAATAGATTTTTCTGTTTAGAAAGAGTTAGGATTAACCCTTGAGTGCTGTATGGGATGTTTTCATGCACTCTGGGGTGATTGTGAGTCTCAATTTGGCCACAACTTTCTATGTGTTTCAGCAAATGGGATAATATTTGGTGACAAATCTTATTTTGACATATATTTTGGGAAAATGCTTTAGGAACAATACACTTTGGGCAAATTTACTACCCTTTCGTTATGTTGGTGGCTGTATTTGCCCCATTGACTTCCATTATAATGACATTTTTTGATTGCAAAGTCATGACACCTAAAATCATGCATTCTTGATCGTTGCTGGTTTTCCCTTTTGGAAGAAGTAAAATTTGTATGTTTTAAAAGCTTAGTTTCTGATTTCTATATGGAGTATTTTGTGTGTGAGGGTGTGAGCGTGTAAGAGAGACCATTGTGCACTTACCTTCATATGTCAAGAAAATCAAAATAAGCAGTTCAGAACATAGTAAGTGTATTTATGCACACACACTAATATCTGCTGTTTTTCGTCATTAAACTCCATATAAAAGCCAGAAACATTTTTGCACAGGTCTATCTAAAGGGTTAATGTCTTGATTGGTGTAGGGAAAGGAGGACTTAAGTGCAATACAAAATAGGTATTTATTAATAATAAAATAAAACAAAATGGCAACATAAACATTAACTAAAAGACAAAACACAAACTTGGCTGAGCTGGCAGTACAGGAAGGAAGGATCTAGACAAGACTTGACAAGAGCAAAATACGGTGTATGATGAACGATGACTTCAGACAAGAGCGAGCTATAAGCAGAAAGAATTGATAAACAAACAGGTGAACTGAATAAACTAATAATAGGAAAACAAGGAGGGTGGGACTAGACAATAGTTGGGAGAACACATGACCCAAACACAACACAAGCCATGTGCTCATGAGAAAACAGGACTAGAACACGCAGCCAATGAGAGAACTCATTAACCTCATGTTCACATGAAACACAACACTAAAGCAAGCGGTGCATGTAAACGTGAACCACTTGCTAAACGCAAAAACAACAAAAATAGAACACAAGACATCAGCATGAGACTGATTGCTGTTAGGCCCCAATGACAGACGAGACGTTGCATTGATTGTGAAAGGCCAGCCTGTACACCATCTGGTGACCTCTCCTCCTGCAGCTTCTCTACTATGGACGTCCTGCTTTCTCCAGCCTCCAGCGCTTAGATTGCAGCTCTGCACAAGAAGTTTGGCCATAGAAGAAATGGTCTTGCCCAACTAAGCCTGGTTTCTCTCAAGGATTTTTTTTATCCTTTCTTCAAATGGTGAAGTTTTTTCTCGCCGATGTTACCACTGGCTTGCATGTCTCGAATCGATTGATTTGATCTTCAGTGTTTGGACTTTCAGCAGTGAAAATTAAACCAGACTGAACTGAACTAAACTGAACTTCAACTCTGAAAAATGGACTGTCAGAGTTTCAATTGACTATAAACTTCTATGTTAGGCTGCTTTGACACAATCTTCATTGTAAAAGCGCTACAGAAATAAAGATGAAATTGAATCAAGCACATGATGAATAAAAAACACTTACCGTGCAACATGCATTGTGCATGTTTCATCCCAGCATCAACCAAAAAATGAAATAAACTAGACTGAGCTGCTAAGAATGAAACGGCATGCTGCAGACAAACCAAACACCAGGACAAGAACACGATTCCAATCATCAAGTGGTAGCTCGCACGGCCTGAGCATGGCCAAGACGGCACCCATAAAAAGACGATGACAGACAGGAAACATGAGTGCTCAACTCAAGAAAAAAACAAGCCGAGCACAACATAATAGACAAGACAGGACTAGTGTCTGGACTCTGCCACCAAGACAAGAATTAGCAAGACCGAAGTGGCAGAATCCTAACAGTTAAGGCTGCCAACTGATGATCAACAATAAAAATTACACATTACAAAACCACCAACAAACAAAAATGCATGAATTTATGCTGTCATGAATTTGCAATCAAAACATGTCATAATAATGGAAGTCAATGGGGCAAAAACAGCCACAAACATAAAGAAAGGGTAGTCAAATTGAGCAGTACACAAGGGTTAAGCTCCCATCATTACAAAAGAAAAAAACTCAAATGTACTGTATGTTTTAGGCATATTTGTTTTTTCCACACATCTGTTCCTATCATACATCTTTATAACCTTCCATTCAGCCTGTCAAGAAGTAGCATCTGAAATCCGGACTAAAATTGAAGCATTCCGTCCGTTTATCCCTCTGATCCGAAGCCTGAGGAATCCTGGCATGCGGAATCGCCACTGGGAACTTCTCTCTGAACGTATCAACATAAATATGAGGTCCAGAGCAAATCTGACTTTTTCTCTTTGTCTGGAGTTGGGCCTGCAAGATCATGTGGAGGAAATCACACGCGTGGCTCAGGAAGCTGGAAAAGAATATTCTATCGAGCAAGTGAGTGCATTTATAGATGCATTTTACTAGGGCCACACAATGTATTGTTTCAGCATCGATATCGCTATGTCGTATTCGCAATAGTCACTTCACAGAATATGCAATGTTGATTCTGAATCTTAGGTGACCAGAGTAGGGTTGCACCAGCTGTTCTTAAATTCTTTCTTAAACTGGAACGTAAAGCCCACACTAGGGACTTCATAACTACTAGCTAGTTTATAACTAAATTTGTTTTTATTTTAGTTGCACCTCATTTCTTAGGGCAAATCGTAGTTATTAGGTCGTAAGCTCTTCTAAAAAGTCATGCGTGGTTGCATTGAATAACGTAATATTTAATAAAAAGCATTTAAATCATTAAACTGATTTAAAATTCTGCAACTAATGCATCTACATATATGAAAATAAAATTATAAATTACATTTTTAATGCACATTACATTACAGTCAGGCACGAATAACATACAACACACACATCTGCATCGCAAGCTGTGAATACACGCAAAGTTATCAAAACATCAACCTTGAAATTTTTTATATCCTACTTATGAAAGAGAAAAGAACAGGAAGGAAAGCTCAATCATGAAGAATTTCACGTTTTAATTGATGGATGGAATAAACACAAAACACTCCTTGAAAGAAAATTAAACTTCTTTCCCAAACCGAGATTTAGAGGAAATGTGAGTAGAGGGGAAAATCATTCTTCATTATGATTGCAAGCTCCTTGATGTAAACTAATCTTGCTGTCATCTTTTTTTCTACCGGTATACACGGTGTGAGGCTGCCATAAATATTTAGTTGGAACGTGGCGTTATGTTTAAACTAATTTCATTGGAGCAACACAAAAATATTTAGTAGTGTTTATGTTGTAACTTAGTGTACCTTTAAGTCACAACTAGGCTATGTTTTAACTTACGCACCGCTGGTACAACCAGCCCCAGGAGCCACAGAAGCCATTTAGAGTCACTGCTAAGTCTAACTTTAACAGAGTGAAAATTTGGCATTTGCATGTGTTTTTAAGGCCCATGACTGTGCATTTCAAGAGAGTTGAAAATACTTGGGCACAAAAAGGTGTAACAAAGATTAATTTATTTGGAAATGAAAAAAAAACTTAGAATTTTTGTCTTGTTTCTAGTCCAAATATCTACATTTTAATGCAAAATTAAGATTACTGAACTTACCCTATTGTCAGATAATTTTGCTTGTTTGAAGGAAAAATTCTTAATTTTGACTTATTTTTTCTAAAAGTGAAAACAAAATAGTATTTTTTACTTGATTTAGATTTTTTTGATATTTGCACTAGATGCAAAGTAAGAAAAGCTTTTTTTTTTGCAATGTGATTATTAAATTTCTGTAGCTGAATACTGTTAGACTCCCCAGAACACCATCAAATAGAGCTATTCTAATCATCTTGTGAAACTGTATTCAGTACATATACAGTATTAGATTTTTCCAAACCTACATTTTACCTTTATGAAGCAGAAAAACACAGCATTTATGCCCATTCACATAAAATATGATAACTAAAATGGCAGATATATCAGTGGTGATCTTTTTTTCTGAATTACATAACAGGACAATTCTACAAGCACATTATGTTTTGTGACAGCATTTTTCATCTCATGCATCTGTTGCCTTAGGCTCTGAACAAGATGGAGGAAGAATGGTCAACAGTGATGTTTGAGGTGATGCCGTATAAAGAGACAGGAACTTACATACTGAAGAGCCCAGATGAAGCATCTCAGCTCCTAGATGACCACATCGTCATGACCCAGAGCATGGCCTTCTCTCCATATAAAAAACCCTTTGAGGAGAGAATCAGCAAGTGGGAAAGTAAACTGAAAATGACACAGGTAAGCCAAAAGTAATTCTGCAAATATGATTCTGAAATCTGCATGGTGAAATATTGTTGGGTGGCCTAATAAATTAGCATGTTTCTGCAGAAATAGAAAACCAAAATCTTCATGAAAATGTTTGATTAGTATCTCCTCCCCCCTCCCCCTCTCCCCTCCAAAAAAACATTGTTACTGTGGCCCTCTGGTGGTAGGAAGTATTAGAAGAGTGGCTCATCTGTCAGCGGTCGTGGCTGTACATGGAACCCATTTTCAGCTCTGATGACATCAACCGCCAGCTGCCGGTGGAAGGAAAGAGGTATCAAACCATGGAGCGCACCTGGAGGAATATCATGAAGGCCGCCCATGATAACAATCGGGTGAGCAGCGTCAGGCTACTCAATCATACTACAGCAGATTGCGCCAATGGTTCATTGAAGAGCTGATTGTCTTTATGGGTGCAGGTGATTGAAGTGTGTCCTGAAGCACGTCTGTTGGCCAGTCTCAAAGACTGTAACAATCTACTGGAGCTTGTGCAGAAAGGACTAAGTGACTACCTGGAAACCAAGCGAAGCGCCTTCCCCAGGTAAGAATGATGAGTTTTTGTGGTTTATCTCATGAACAGCTGGGAAGGCCCAGGGTCGGTGAATAAACAATGAATAGGCAATTAACATTTATATTTTCGTTTACCTTTGCTAATTCACTATAATTGCTGAAGCAGTTGCTCTGCTGATATTATTATTATATTAATGTTAAATTGTTAATAATGTTTAATGACATAATTAAAACCTTATTTAGTCCCTCCAGGAATTTGCAGGTAATTTTTTTATATTTGCGGCCAGGCAGAGGAGAAAGATAGAAAAGAAAAGAAAGATGTCCAAAGATGCCATTTCAAGTTGCAAAGAAATCTATTTTGGAAACTAATGAAGATGGCAGAAGTCAATGATTTATTTTAATTATTTAGCCTGACATGTTTACTGTTCCAAAATATGTTTATTAAAATAAAATATAGAGTGCTCAATAGGGGGAAAATAATAATTTTTTTTGCCCAGACATATATAATGAGAGCATACCATAGGCTCATTCTGAAAATGTAGCCCTATGTACATTTCTGGAGATTGTGAATTATGTAAACAGAAGTATGTATGGCTGCATTTAATTTTTTTAAACGAATGCTACGGTGCGGTATGACGCCGTTCTCTTGATGCGCTTACCAGCTGACTGCTTACCCCTGTGTGGACGGCTTTCCAGCTCTTATCAGTTTGTCCAGTTAGCTCGTCATGTACGTCAGTGGCCTTGTGGCACTGAGGAGTGTACCACAATGATGGGGTTTGAGTCTGGTGAAGAACGGTTTCAGAAAATGGGTGAGACAAAAACAGAAGCCAAAAACTAAAATAAAAAAGTTAATTACAGGGTGAGGGAAAAATTGAACGAGGTTTTTTTTCTGAATTGTTTTTTAAATTTGTTGGTTTAGTTTTGAAAAGGTGTGGGCGGGTCAGTCTGTGCTTGGTAAAATACTAATGGTTGTGTTCAGGGAAGGAGGAGGGTGGGTCAGTCGATCAATCAGTCAGTCAGTCAGTCAGGCAAACAGTGAGTCGACAGCGCTCTCTGGTGCATTTACGAGAGAACAACAGGCACGAAGGGCACTTGCAAGAGGAATTTGAAATGTCAAAAAGCGTAAAAATCGGCCTCTGGTGGATTTACAAAAACTGCAAAAAAAAAAAAAAAACTTAGCTCCTGAAACGTATTTGTTTTTTATAAATGTATATAGATTACCCAGAGATGGGTTGCGGCTAGAAGGACATCCGCTGCGTAAAATCTTGCTGGATAAGTTGGCGGTTCATTCCGCTGTGGCGACCCCAGATTAATAAAGGGACTAAGCTGACAAGAAAATGAATGAAATTAATGAATGAAAATGTATATAGATTTACGTTATCAGAATTAGCCTTGGTTGGAACATATTTTAGAGCAGTAACCACAAAACCGTGACACCGCAAAACTGTGATATCTTTATTCATAATTATCATCCGTCAGATTCTTATACAAGCACATGCCTATTTGTGGCTTAAAATTACTAATTATAATCAGAATTTTGTGACAGCTTATTTTAAAACATCATTATTTGCTTCAATTGTTGTGTTTTGGTGTGAAGATACACAAAAATCTTGTGAATTTTTACTTTTTTTGATCTCAACAACCATTGGAATCACAAAATCCTGAAGTGGCTGCTTATTTTCATGGAATGTTTCCTGAAACATTCTTTGGGAGTTTTATTTCAGATGGGTCAGAGAACATTCAAAGTAATATCACACAATGTTTGTAATATTTTGAACATTGAGAATAGATTTTCTTCAGTGTTAACATAACCAAGATAAAGAGGTAGACATTTAAGAAACAGAATGTTCTGTCAACAAAAATATCCACAGATTCTGCCAGGGCCTAGCCATATATTGTTCACTACTTAAGAATTTTTTATTTTTCTCTTGGATGTAGATTTTACTTTTTATCAGATGATGAGTTGCTGGAGATTTTATCTCAGACTAAAGATCCAACATCAGTGCAGCCACATCTCCGCAAATGTTTTGAGAACATTGCCCGGGTACGTCCTCTTTCATATCCATATGTTTACCATATTAGAAATAAAAATAATTTGCACGCCAGAAAATATCAAAAGGATTTTGGCTTATGTCAAATTTCAATTATAGCAACGAATAATAATGGGTTCTGTTGTTCTATATACAGCTCCACTTTCAGTCAGATCTACTGATCACACGCATGTACTCTTCTGAGGGAGAGGAAGTTCATTTATCCGTTCCTGTCTCTCCTACTGGCAATGTGGAGCACTGGTTACGGGAAGTGGAGAATTCAATGAAAGCCAGTGTAAGAGACAACATCAGTCGCTCTTTGCAGGCTTATGTTGAGGTTGGTGTTTTTTTTTTTAGCTTTATTTTTCTTTGTGTTTTTTTATTATTCTTTCCATACAGTGCTCAGCATAATTAAGTACACCCCTTACAAATCTCTCATGTAAATTCATATTTTCTATAGGGTGCTTTACAATGTTATATTTGTGCATCTACATTAGAATAGTCAGCACTGAAGCCAAATCTGGAGCTAATCTAACAAACTTTATATGAAGAGTTTTGTTGCAAAACGAAATATATCCATTTTGAAAAATGTTGGTTATTTGATATTATTATTTAAGACATCAACAGTCAAGTTCATTCACAGTTTTTGTACATTAAACTATTACTTGAGCTCAGTGAAGGCCAGGAACACAATATTTTCAAACCCAGGATATTTTTATTTGATTTTATGTCCATAAACAGTTCATAAGTCAAAAACCAAGCCAAAATGCAACATATTAATCTTAACATTGTCAAACATCTTGAATTGGTTAAAAAAACTATACATCATAAATATATAGAATAATATATACAAAGATTGATTAATAATAAGAAGAATCTCAGTTAGATTTGGTCAAAATGTACACAACATAACATAACATAACTTTTTTTAACTTTTTTTTTGCAAAACGCTATATCTCCACCTTAGGCTATATTTTGTTACAGTAATACCATTAAGAAAAGCGAGTGAATCAATGTTTTGCTTGATAAGTAGGATTAAGTTAGTTAGATAAACGACTTGTAAATTGTTACAGAAAGAGTGGAGGGCGGCTCTATCCACACCGCTGCTGAAAACCAAACCTGTATGATCAGAGCGGGCGGAGCCACAGTGTCACAGAGTCCACGACACAAGCTCGCCTCGCCCCAACATATTTAATGAATTATTTCACTGTAATAATAATTATAATAATAATATTAATAATATTAATAATAATAATAATAATAATAATAATGATAATAATAATAATAGCTCATTTATTGGTTGTTGTGAAAAAGCAAAACCGTTTATTTTTCTCCATAACAACTTGTGCCCTTTATGTTCCCTTATAATAAATCAACAACAACAAGAATTAACGTGAGCTTTTAGGCTATAAATAATAGGTGCAACCGCATGAATAAATCTTCAGATAGGCTACTCAGCTACATGTATGAAATTATTTAAAAAATAAACTTACAAAGGACACTTACAAATGTCGCCTTGCAGACAGGTATCTTGTGATGGGGAGGAGCGCAGGAAAAAAGGCCCTCCCTAGCCTTCCTCTTGACATCAGCGGAGACTCGTTTCCTGCTGCATTTGTGTATTGTTGACAGACGCAGAAGTGTTTTATTCTGGTCCACTTTTGTAGTGTTTTTATACAATTTTGTGAAGTTGAAGGCTTCATCTTCTGTCGCTAAATCAATGAACAAACTCAGAGCACTTCATCGGCGGCGACTCTCGGAGCTCGTGCAGCATCCTGAACGTTCTATAACTGTTTTATCGTACTTTGTAAAGAAACTGGTCTGGCGGATATCGCGTTTTGTGAAAAAATGCATTTTTTAGTAGGCCTAAAATGTACATTCTTAAATGTTATTAATGACAGCAATTCACACATAGATTAAGGTACATCTGAACAGTGATTTCCAATGTCAAAAAACGGCGTTTATCGCATTTTGCAACCAAACTCTTCATATATATATACATATATATGTTGAATTAATTTTTTTACAATATTTATTTTGCATGATTCATTTTTGAAATAAATAAAACATTTATGCTAAGTACAGGATTAGCATGCAGGTATTTAATGTTGTTGTGTTTTTGATTTTTTTTTGTGTTTTTGATTTTTTCTGGGAATCATAATTATTTTGGCAGCATCCTCGCACAGAGTGGGTTCTGTCCTGGCCCGGTCAGGTTGTTATTGCTGGCTGTCAAACATTTTGGACCCAAGAAGTGTCAGAGTCTTTGAATAAGGGAGACTTGGCAGATCGGCTTTACCCACAGTTGCAGAAACAGGTACAGATTGTTTCCAACTGTGCAAACAATTAACCATTCCTGTTGGGGTTTTTACCTCTGCAATGCATTATTGTAACTATAAATATGAAACCATGTGGTCATTTTTGTTTTGTATATGCACAAACAGTTAGGAGATTTGGTGAAGCTGGTGCGGGGTCAGCTGTCAAAGATGCAACGGGCCATACTCTCAGCACTCATTGTCATTGAAGTACATGCTAAAGATGTGGCAGCCAAGCTGGTTGAGGAGGAAGTGTCCAGTGTCAATGACTTTGAGTGGATCAGCCAGCTAAGGTTACACAGTATTTAATATTCAATTCCATCTATATTTATGTAGCGCCTAGAAGAAAGTCATTTTTAAAATAAGTTTTTCCTCTTTCTTTTACTATTCTTTACATACAGTACTTAGCATATTCCCAGCACATCTTTTTCCTCCTCCTACTTCTTCTGTCACGGGTGGGTCTTGAACCCGGGTCTCTGCTAAGTGAACCACTGAGCCACAGGGGCAGTTTTATTGGACTCAGACAAAAACACTCCAAGTAGGCATCCAGAAAACTGGGAGAATGGAGATTAAGTGTAGGATAGTAACTTCTTCTTCCTCCTCAATTTTCATCTGCTTTTGATTTCTTCCTCTTCTTTTTCTTCATCCTGTTTTACCTTCCTCCTTCTTCCTCCGTCTGCCTCCTTCTCATTTTATCCTCTTCTTCTTCCTTCCTTTTCCATTCCTCTTTCTTCTCTGGTCTCTGGTGTGGTGTCTGATGAGTTGACCACTGAGCCACAGGGGCAATTGTGTTAGTTATAGACAAAAACACTCCAAGCAGGGATCCAGAAAACTCTACAGGAATGGAGACATATTTTTCCTTCTTCTTCTTCCTCCTTTTTTTCTACTACCTTCATCTTCCTCCCCCTTCTCTCTTCTTCATTCTTCTCCTCCTTCTTCCTTCTTTTTATTTCTTCTTCTTCCTTTCCTCCCTTTTCCTTAATCTTCTTCCACTTTGTTCTTCTCTTTTCTTTTTTCTTTCTCTTCCTCCTTTTTCTTCCTCTTCTTTTTATTTCTTCCTCTTCTTTTCCTTCTCTTTCCTTTCACCTTCTTTTTCCTTTTTCTTCTTCTTTTTCTTCCTTTCTTTTTCCTCCTTCTTCCACCTTCCTTCATCCTTTTCCACCTTCTTCTTCCTCCTCCTTTTTCTTCTTCTTTTTCTTCCTTTCTTTTCCCTCCTTCTTCCACCTTCCTTCATCCTCTTCCACCTTCTTCTTCCTCCTACTAAGTTGGTGATTCATTCCACTGTGGCGACTCCAGATTAATAAAAGGGACTAAGCTGAAAAGAAAATGAATGAATGAATTAACATAAAAAGAAAACTCCACGAGGGGAGAAAACAAATAGACAAAAAGAAATTCTTCGCCTACTTCTGTCATGGTTGGGTCTTGAACCCGGGTCTCTGGTGTGGTGTCTGGTGAGGTGACCACTGAGCCACAGGGGCAGTTGTGTTGGATTCAGACAAAAACACTCCAAGTAGGGATCCAGAAAACTCTACGGGAATGGAGACCTATTTTTCCTTCTTCTTCTTCTTCCTCCTTCTTTTCCCCCTCTCTTCTTCATTCTTCTCTTCCTTCTTCCTTCTTTTTGTTTCTTCCTCTTCTTTTCCGCCTCCCTTTTCCTTCATCTTCTTCCACCTTGTTCTTCTCTTTTCTTCTTTCTTTCTCTTTCCTCTCTTTTTTCCTCTTCTTTTTATTTCTTCCTCTTATTTCCTCCTCCTTCCTTCATCCTCTTCCACCTTCTTTTTCCTCCTCCTCCGTTTTCTTCTTCTTTTTCTTCCTTTCTTTTTCCTCCTTCTTCCACCTTCCTTCATCCTCTTTCACCTTCTTCTATTTCCTCCTAAGTTGGCGGTTCATTCCGCTGTGGCGACCCCAGATTATTAAAAGGGACTAAGCCAAAAAGTAAATGAATGAATGAATTAACATAAAAAGAAAACACCATAAGAGGAGAAAACAAAAAGGCAACAAGACATTCTTCCTTTTCTGTTTTCCTTCCTCCTCTTCCTTCTTCTTCTTCTTCTGTCACGGGTGGGTCTTGACCCTGGGTCTCTGGTGTCATGTCTGGTGAGTTGACCACTGAGCCACAGCGCCAGTTGTGTTGAATTCATACAAAAACACTCCAAGTAGGGATCCAGAAAACTTTAGCGGAATGGAGACAAAGTGCAGGATGGTGACATCTTATTTTTTCTTCTTCCTTTATTTTGCTTCTCTTCTTCCTCCTCCTTCTCTTACCTTCATCTTCTTCTCCCTCCTTCTCAATTTCTTTTTATTTCTTCCTCTTCTCTTCTTCGTCCGTTTTCACCTTCTTCTTCCTCCTCCTATTTCTTCCCTCTACCTACCTCTTCTGTCTTCCTATTTCTTCATGCTCCTCCCATTTTCTCTTTTTTTCAATTATTTTCTTTCCCTCCTCTTGCCTTCATCCTTCCTTCCTCTTCCTACTATTTTTACTTTCCTCTCTTCTTCTACTTAATTTTCATTCTCCTTTTATTTTCCTCTTTTTCTTCTACCTTCATCCATCATCCTCCATCTCCTTCTTCTGTCATGGGTGGGTCTTGTCTCTAGTGTGGTGTCTGATGAGTTGACCACTGAGCCACAGGAGCAATTGTGTTGGATTCAGACAAAAACAGTCCAAGTAGGGATCCTCTTCTTGTCATTTTTTCCTCTAATTATTTTTCTTCTCTTACTTCTTTTTCCTCCTTCCTTCAGTCTTTCCTTCCCTCTGTCAACTTCTTTCTTTTCCTACTCATCCTCCTACCTCTTTCCCTCCTTCATCTTCCTTCATGGTTCTTTTTATTTATTATTTTTCCTCCATTAACCTGTCTTTTTTCTCTTCCTCCTGCTTTCTTTTATCCTCTTTTTTATATCCCCTTTCCAACTTATTGTTCCTCCTACCTTTTCCCTAGGTCTTATTTCCTCTACCTCATTCCTGCTTTTTCTGTTACACTTCCTATTTTCTTCATCCACCTTCTTTTTTCTCCTTCCTTGCTTCCTCCTCCTTATTGTCTTTTTTTATTTCTTCCTCTTACTCCTCCTCCATCATCTTCTTCCACTTGCTTTTTTCCTCATCCTTTTCTTTGTCTACCTTTTTCTTCCTCCTGCTTGTTTTCTTTCCTGTACCTTGTTCTTCTCCTTCTCCTCTTCTGTCACAGGTAGGCCTTGAACCCAGGTCTCTGGTGTGGTGTCTGGTGAGTTAACCACTGAGCCACAGGGGAAGTTGCATTGGACATAGACAACATACGTTGTCATACATACATTAAAAGAAAACTCCACGAGGGGAGAAAACAAATAGACAATAAGGCATTCTTCTTCTTTTGTCTGCCTTCTTCTTCCTCCTGCTCCTTCTTCTGTCACGGGTGGGTCTTGAACCCGGGTCTCTGGTGTGGTATCTGATGAGTTGACCACTGAGCCACATGGGCAGTTGTGTTAGATTCAGACAAAAACACTCCAAGTAGGGATCCGGAAAACTCTGCGGGAATGGAGACATATTTTTCCTTCTTCTTCTTCTTCCTCCTTTTCTTCTTCCTTCATCTTCCTCCTCCTTTCTTCTTCATTCTTCTCCTCCTTCTTCCTTCTTTTTGTTTCATCCTCTTCTTTTCCGCCTCCCTTTTCCTTAATCTTCTTCAACTTTGTTCTTCTCTTTTCTTTTTTCTTTCTCTTCCTACTTTTTTTCCTTTTCTTTTTATTTCTTCCTCTTCTTTTCCTCCTCCTTCCTTCATTCTCTTTCACCTTCTTCCTCCTCCTCCTTTTTCTTCTTCTTTTTCTTCCTTTCTTTTCCCTCCTTCTTCCACCTTCCTTCATCCTCTTCCACCTTTTTCTTCCTCCTCCTAAGTTGGTGGTTCATTCCGCTGTGGCGACCCCAGATTAATAAAAGGGACTAAGCTAAAAATAAAATAAATGAATGAATTAACATAAAAAGAAAACTCCACGAGGGGAGAAAACAAATAGACAAGAAGGCATTCTTCCTCTTTCTGTTTTCCTTCCTCTTCCTCCTTCTTCTGTCACGGGTGGGTCTTGAACCCAGGTCTCTGGTGTGGTGTCTGGTTAGTTGCCACAGGGGCAGTCGTGTTGGATTCATACAAAAACACTCCAAGCGGGGAACCAGAAAACTATACGCTAATGGAGACATATTTTTCCTTCTTCTTCCTCCTTCTTTTCTTCTACCTTCATCGTCCTCTTCCTTCTCTCTTCTTCATTCTTCTCCTCCTTCTTCCTTCTTTTCATTTCTTCCTTTTCTTTTCCTCTTCCTTTTTCCTTCATTTTCTTCCACCTTTTTCCTCTTTACTTTTTTCTTTCTCTTCCTCCTCTTTTTTCCTCTTTTTTATTTCTTCCTCTTCTTTTTCTCCTCTTTCATCCTCTTCCACCTTCTTTTTCCTCCTCTTCCTTTTTCTTTTTTTATTCCTTTCTTTTTCCTCCTCCTTTCACCTTCCTTCATCCTCTTTCACCTTCGTCTTCCTCCTCCTAAGTTGATGGTTCATTCCGCTGTGGTGACCCCAGATTAATAAAAGGGACTAAGAAAAGAAAAAAATGAATGAATGAATGAATGAATTAACATAAAAAGAGAACACCACGAGGGGAGAAAACAAACAGACAATAAGGATTCCTCTTTTGTCTGCCTTCTTCTTCCTCTGTCATGGGAACACTGGTCTCTGGTTTGGTGTCTGGTGAGTTGACCACTGAGCCACCAGGGCAGTTGTGTTGGATTCAGACAAAAACACTCCAAGAAGGGATCCAGAAAACTCTAGGGGAATGGAGACAAATTTTTCTTTCTTCTTCTTCTTCCTTCTTTTCTTCTACCCTCATCTTCCTCCTCCTTTTCTTCTTCATTCTTCTCCTCCTTTTTCCTTCTTCTTCCTCCTCCTAAGTTGGCGGTTCATTCCACTGTGGCGACCCCAGATTAATAAAAGGGACTAAGCCAAAAAGAAAATTAATGAATGAATTAACATAAAAAGAAAACTCCACGAGGGGAGAAAACAAATAGACAAAAAGGCATTCTTCCTCTTTCTCCACCTCCTTCAGTCAGACATGGGTCTTGAACCAGGCTCTCTGGTGTGGTGTCAGGTGAGTTGACCACTGAGCCACAGGGGAGTTGTGTTGCACGCAGACAAAAACACTTGAAGTAGGGATGCAGAGAACTCTAGGGAAATGGAGACAAAGTGCAGGATGGTGACATCTTTTTCTTCTTCTTTTTCCTCCTCCTCCTTCTTTTCTTCTACCTTTATCTTCCTCCTTCTCTTTTCTTCTTCACTCTTCTACTCCTTCTTCTTTCTTTTTATTTCTTTCTCTTCTTTTCCTCCTCCTTCTTCCTTCACCTTCTTCCACCTTCTTTTCCTCCTGTTTCCACCAGTTGTGTTGGATTCAGACAAAAACACTCCAAGCAGGGATTCAGGAAACTCTAGGGGTTGCAGCTGGAAAGGCATCTGCTGCGTAAAACGTGCTGTATAAGTTGGCGGTTCATACAGCTCTGGCGACCCCAGATTAATAAAATGGACTAAGCTGAAAAGAAAATGAATGAATGAATTAACATAAAAAGAAAACTCTTCTTCTGTCATAGGTGGGTATTGAACCCAGGTCTCTGGTGTGGTGTCTGATGAGTTGACCACTGAGCCACAGGGGCAATTGTGTTAGTTATAGACAAAAACACTCCAAGCAGGGATCCAGAAAACTCTACAGGAATGGAGACATATTTTTCCTTCTTCTTCCTCCTCCTTTTTTTCTACTACCTTCATCTTCCTCCCCCTTCTCTCTTCTTCATTCTTCTCCTCCTTCTTCCTTCTTTTTATTTCTTCTTCTTCCTTTCCTCCTCCCTTTTCCTTAATCTTCTTCCACTTTGTTCTTCTCTTTTCTTTTTTCTTTCTCTTCCTCCTTTTTCTTCCTCTTCTTTTTATTTCTTCCTCTTCTTTTCCTTCTCCTTCCTTTCACCTTCTTTTTCCTTTTTCTTCTTCTTTTTCTTCCTTTCTTTTTCCTCCTTCTTCCACCTTCCTCCATCCTTTTCCACCTTCTTCTTCCTCCTCCTTTTTCTTCTTCTTTTTCTTCCTTTCTTTTCCCTCCTTCTTCCACCTTCCTTCATCCTCTTCCACCTTCTTCTTCCTCCTACTAAGTTGGTGATTCATTCCACTGTGGCGACCCCAGATTAATAAAAGGGACTAAGCTGAAAAGAAAATGAATGAATGAATTAACATAAAAAGAAAACTCCACGAGGGGAGAAAACAAATAGACAAAAAGAAATTCTTCTCCTACTTCTGTCATGGTTGGGTCTTGAACCCGGGTCTCTGGTGTGGTGTCTGGTGAGGTGACCACTGAGCCACAGGGGCAGTTGTGTTGGATTCAGACAAAAACACTCCAAGTAGGGATCCAGAAAACTCTACGGGAATGGAGACCTATTTTTCCTTCTTCTTCTTCTTCCTCCTTCTTTTCCCCCTCTCTTCTTCATTCTTCTCTTCCTTCTTCCTTCTTTTTGTTTCTTCCTCTTCTTTTCCGCCTCCCTTTTCCTTCATCTTCTTCCACCTTGTTCTTCTCTTTTCTTCTTTCTTTCTCTTTCCTCTCTTTTTTCCTCTTCTTTTTATTTCTTCCTCTTATTTCCTCCTCCTTCCTTCATCCTCTTCCACCTTCTTTTTCCTCCTCCTCCGTTTTCTTCTTCTTTTTCTTCCTTTCTTTTTCCTCCTTCTTCCACCTTCCTTCATCCTCTTTCACCTTCTTCTATTTCCTCCTAAGTTGGCGGTTCATTCCGCTGTGGCGACCCCAGATTATTAAAAGGGACTAAGCCAAAAAGTAAATGAATGAATGAATTAACATAAAAAGAAAACACCATAAGAGGAGAAAACAAAAAGGCAACAAGACATTCTTCCTTTTCTGTTTTCCTTCCTCCTCTTCCTTCTTCTTCTTCTTCTGTCACGGGTGGGTCTTGACCCTGGGACTCTGGTGTCATGTCTGGTGAGTTGACCACTGAGCCACAGGGCCAGTTGTGTTGAATTCATACAAAAACACTCCAAGTAGGGATCCAGAAAACTTTAGCGGAATGGAGACAAAGTGCAGGATGGTGACATCTTATTTTTTCTTCTTCCTTTATTTTGCTTCTCTTCTTCCTCCTCCTTCTCTTACCTTCATCTTCTTCTCCCTCCTTCTTAATTTCTTTTTATTTCTTCCTCTTCTCTTCTTCGTCCGTTTTCACCTTCTTTTTCCTCCTCCTATTTCTTCCCTCTACCTACCTCTTCTGTCTTCCTATTTCTTCATGCTCCTCCCATTTTCTCTTTTTTTCAATTATTTTCTTTCCCTCCTCTTGCCTTCATCCTTCCTTCCTCTTCCTACTATTTTTACTTTCCTCTCTTCTTCTACTTAATTTTCATTCTCCTTTTATTTTCCTCCTTTTCTTCTACCTTCATCTTCCTTCCTCCTCCTTCTTCCTCTTCTGTTCCTCTTCTGTTCCTCCTCCATCTCCTTCTTCTGTCATGGGTGGGTCTTGAACCCGGGTCTCCCGTGTGGCGTCTGGTGAGCGAACCACAGGGGCAGTTGTGTTGAACTCAGACAAAAACACTCCAAGCAGGGATTCAGAAAACTCTAGGGGTTGCAGCTGGAAGGGCATCTGCTGCGTAAAACGTGCTGTATAAATTGACGGTTCATTCTGCTGTGGCTACCCCAGATTAATAAAAGGGACTAAGCCGAAAATAAAATGAATGAATGAATTAACATAAAAAGAAAACTCCACAAGAGGAGAGAACAAATAGACAACAAGGAATTCTTCCTTTTTCCTTCTGTCACGGTCCTCTTCCTACTATTTTTACTTTCCTCTCTTCTTCTACTTAATTTTCATTCTCCTTTTATTTTCCTCTTTTTCTTCTACCTTCATCTTCCTTCCTCCATCATCCTCCATCTCCTTCTTCTGTCATGAGTGGGTCTTGAACTTGGGTCTCTAGTGTGGTGTCTGATGAGTTGACCACTGAGCCACAGGAGCAATTGTGTTGGATTCAGACAAAAACAGTCCAAGTAGGGATCCTCTTCTTGTCATTTTTTCCTCTAATTATTTTTCTTCTCTTACTTCTTTTTCCTCCTTCCTTCAGTCTTTCCTTCCCTCTGTCGTCTTCTTTCTTTTCCTACTCATCCTCCTACCTCTTTCCCTCCTTCATCTTCCTTCATGTTTCTTTTTATTTATTATTTCTCCTCCATTAATCTGTCTTTTTTCTCTTCCTCCTGCTTTCTTTTATCCTCTTTTTTATATCCCCTTTCCAACTTATTGTTCCTCCTACCTTTTCCCTAGGTTTTATTTCCTCTACCTCATTCCTGCTCTTTCTGTTCCTCCTCCTATTTTCTTCATCCACCTTCTTTTTTCTCCTTCCTTGCTTCCTTTTCCTTATTTTCTTTTTTTTTCTTCCTCTTACTCCTCCTCCTTCATTTTCTTCCACTTGCTTTTTTCCTCATCCTTTTCTTTGTCTACCTTTTTTTTTCCTCCTACTTGTTTTCTTTCATGTACCTTGTTCTTCTCCTTCTCCTCTTCTGTCACAGGTAGGCCTTGAACCCGGGTCTCTGGTGTGGTGTCTGGTGAGTTTACCACTGAGCCACAGGGGCAGTTATGATAGTAGGGATCCAGAAAACTCTAGGAGAATGGAAACGAGGTGCAGGATGGTGACATCTTCTTCCTTTTTCTTCTTCCTATGTTTTCGAAGTAGCAAAACAGACAACTTAGTTTCTTCTCAGAATGAAATATATAACATATTTTAAAAATATAATAAATATACAAAGAAAACTCTATGCAGGGAGAAAACAAATAGACAATAAGGCAGCAAGCAACAGGGAAAATAAACAGTCTTACCAGACATATCTCAGGAGATCAAAGGAACACAAGGCAAGTTCACCAGGGCATACTCATAAACCGAGTGAGGAACAGAAAAAACACACTAGCTGCAACAAGTCACAGGTGAGCGAAATTAAGTAAACAAGAACACATGAGGAAGAACTAAAGCAGAGGGGAAGCACAGGGGAATGGAGACAAAGTGCAGGATGGTGACATCTTCGTTCTTCTTCTACTTCTTCTTTTTTCTCCTTCTTCCTTCTTATTATTTATTTATTTTCTCCTTCTTCTCATTATTATTATTTTATTATCATTATTGTTATTATTATTTCTTCTTTTTATTTTTATTGAAAACCATTTAATTGTTCTTTGATAAGTAAAAGTCCACAGGGCAGCATTCATCTGACACTTTTTACTATTTAATGCAAAATTGTTTTCTCAAATATGTATCTGTTGGAGTATAGCATGCATTAGTGTTTGTGTGTGTTTGTAGATACTACTGGCGTCACGATCTTTACATCAGAGCTGTGAATGCTGAGTTTTTATACGGTTACGAGTACCTTGGCAACTCAGGTCGACTTGTTATCACTCCACTGACAGACAGGTGTTATCTAAAAAATAATATCTTCTTTTATATATGATTGTACATCAATGTATGTAAGGAAAGCCTAATAAAACTTTTCTCATAAATGTAAAATGTTACACACTGTCTATTGCACAGGTGTTATCTAACCCTGACTGGAGCACTTCACTTAAAATTCGGAGGTGCTCCGGCAGGCCCTGCAGGTACAGGAAAGACAGAAACCACTAAAGACCTGGGCAAAGCTTTGGCTATCCAGACTGTAGTGTTTAACTGCTCCGACCAGCTGGACTTCATAGCCATGGGCAAGTTCCTCAAAGGTCTCGCTAGTTCGGGGGCCTGGGCCTGCTTTGACGAATTCAATCGAATTGACGTGGAGGTTTTATCAGTCGTGGCTCAACAGATCACAACCATCCAAAAAGCCCAGCAGCAAAGAGTAAGTTTCACACTTAAGTATACAGCTATCAAAACACATGCATGTCAGGGACAGAAGGATCTTATGCCTGACGAGAATGTGAAGCAACCACATGTTAAGGGCTGTAAAATGCTAAAGTCAATGTCAATGCAGTAATAAACCAGCATTTACATTAAATGTCAAACGTATGCAGTGAATGTTACGCATTTCTGAAAATATATTTGGTGATTCTTATAATTTCATATCGTAAGCATGAAGTTTTTTTGGCCAATGAGTGGGTTTGGCTTCACGAATGACTTCTGTGTCTTTAGTGGTGAACTGTTAAATAATGCAACACAGATTTCACTTTGAAGTTGTCATGATCACTAGCAATCTAAACACCATAGATCGCTGGAAAACATTCACAATCGCTAACGGACTACAAATTCCACATGTAATGAACTACAACACACAGTCATGTAACACACCGGATTACAGATCCTGACTGATTACACTCTCACAGCTGAAGCTGCTCAAGGACTGATTCATTGACTACTATATAAACAGCTCAAACACACACATTGGTGCTGAATCTTGTTATCTGTTACGTGACATTACAACGTGTTTCCATTTTCTTACCTTGCCGTGTTTTGATCCTTGCTGTGTTAATCTATTTATCCCTGTCTGCCGCCTGCCTTCTGACCACTCGCATGTTTCTTTGACTACGTTTCTGAATTGCCCGTATTCATCCGTTTGCCCCTGTGTTGACCACTGCTTACCTGACCTCACTAATAAACCTGCATTTCCTGGTTACAGAAGTCTTGTAGAATCCAAAATACTGACTCCTGTAGTGTCTCCTATGTTTTGTGTCTTGTCGTGTGCATTGGATGTTCATCTATTCGACATCCGTGCGCTTAACGTCTAAGTTTTTTTACTCTCATAAATTCTACGCAGCCTTTAGTAAGTTGTATATCTAAACTTATACCTGATTACCATAAAACTTTCAAAAAGTCATAGAAATTAATTAGTTACAAAGTTTGGCATCCCTGTTTTTTTTTATCAAATCAAAATCAAATCTGATTTATTAATGAATCACAATAAAAACAACAGTAGTTGACCACTGTGCTGTACGAAATGTCTGCTTAGAAAAAAAACAATATAAAATCAGTACAAATGACCTCAGTGCATTAAAAAAAAGACCAAGTGGGTAGAAAAACACTGATTGATAAAAATGATTTATACATTGTGGACAACTATTAGTCTTAAAATAAAAGGTATGTCTTTGCTATCTTTTACATTCTAAGCTTAGGTATGCTGGTAGGCTACTCCATTGTTTAGCCCTCGCAATCAAAATGCACAATCATGTCTTAACTTTAATCTGATTCTTTGGACCATCAAAACTCTTTGCTTAGAAGATCTCAGGAATCTAATATATGTATTTAGATTTATACTATCACAGAGATATTCCGAAGTCCCTGTAAGGCAGGTAATTTCACTCTGTAGCCATCTTTGGCTCGGGCATTCTGTTTGAATGGGGAAACATCAAAGTGCTTGGCAAGCTTATGATAACATTTCATATCGGGAATTGTCAATAAAATTAAACAACAACTGTTTCTTTAGTTTATTTTCTAAACATTCAAATGACACAAAATTTGTACAAACTCAGGTCTGGTCCAAGCCCCTCCCCCGAAGATTCCTGTCTATACCAATTGATGATTGGCTCCTGTAGTTGAAGGCGGGGCTTTATTCGCCATATGGACTGTTACACTTTTCCCCATTCAAAACCATACGAGTAACATGTCTTGTGTATAGTCTTTGGATATTCAGGAGTCGTTCTACTCAGAGATTTAAAAACAAACAATAAAATTGTCAACTTTTTTGTGCATTTAGGTGAAGACGTTTGTATTTGAAGGCATGGAAATTGCTCTTGTTTCATCCTGTGCGGTCTTCATAACTATGAATCCAGGTTATGCTGGTCGTACTGAACTTCCAGATAATTTAAAGGTACGGAGCTTGCCAACACCAATCTACACTTTTGATAAATATGTCAGTGTGTATTTACAAAAAAAATATGCTGTGTGTTCCTCAGGCCCTCTTCCGTCCAGTGGCTATGATGATCCCTGATTACGCCATGATAGCTGAGATCTCCCTTTACTCATTTGGCTTCAGCGATGCCAAAGTCTTATCCAAAAAAATCACCAGCACCTTTAAACTGTCCTCAGAACAGCTCAGCTCACAGGTCTGACTTTTTCCAGTTTTATAGTAATTCGTTCTGTATATAAACAGTTTAGGTTCCTCTAATAGAAGCGACCAAAGCACTCTATTTCTAGAAACTCACATTGATGCATGTCTTTTGATAGGATCACTATGATTTTGGGATGAGAGCTGTGAAAACTGTGATATCTGCAGCTGGAAACTTGAAGAGGGAAAATCCTGATATGAATGAGGTTGGCTGATGCACATGCGTATATATTTGGGATGCGCGATGTATCTTCGGCCATATATAAATCAGCCAATAAATGCAATTTATATTATTTTTATCTGTCTGATAACAATATTAGGCCAATATCTTTAGCTAGATTACTTTAGCCAAATTATGTATTTTTCCACTGGTTGCACCATTTCACATTCTTACTGCCTACGGTCCTGGAAAAACTGGAAAAGTCATATATTTTGAAAAGGCATTTTTCAGGCCTGGAAAAGTTTTGGAAAAACAAATAATACCAAAATGTTTGGGAAAAGTCCTGAAAATGTTTTGAACAAATATCTGTGTACTTGAATATATTTAAGATGAACTTGACTTATACTTGACACTATATTTGATGGGTAAACTTTGTAAACTTATGTTGCAAAAACAATAATTGCATAAATCAAAAGCAGTTTCAGCTTCGCCTCTCTTTCACTCGCTTTCGCCTCAGTTCAAGATGCATTTTGAGTGTCGTGTCCAGCAACAATCGCACAGTCAGAGACTGTGGGTGCTAAATCTTACAAGTCTCGTGAAAACACAAGACAGCATTTCTAAAATTTTCACACAGACAGCAAGATACTTTTTAAAAACTATTTTATAGATCTAAAAATAAATATAAGCTACATGAATTGTCACATATTTTTTGATATGCTGTAATGAATTTGAACGTGCATTTTTTATTTACCATGTGTACGTAGAAATACATGAAACACGAAACAAGATCATGATTATTTACCTGAAATTTTTGGAAAAGTCATTGAAAGTCGTGGAATTTTTAAAGTAAAAATGTGTATGAATCCTGTCATATTTTGATTTTGTTTAATGTTCAGTGACTTGGTTGCATTTTTATGCATTTTATTTTAGATCAGGCAGTAAATTGTATTTTTATAAAAGAAAAAATTTGGCTTAGAAAAGAATAGTTGATTAATAATGTTCAGAGATCAGTTTAAACTTTTCTGAAGTAAAAGTTTCAAAATAAAATCAGTTGTTCATTGTATGTGTTTTTGCCTTTTGTTTTTGTAATCATGCAATCAGGCTAATATATTGGCTATCAATATCTCCAAAAGTATTTTTTTTCTTCTATCACACTTATAAAACTATTCCTGCTGTGAAACTGATATAATAACTGATAAGTGACTATAAGAACTGATTTTCTGATGTAATTTATTCAGGAGCTGATATGTCTGCGTGCCATCAGGGATGTCAATGTACCAAAGTTTCTTCAGGATGACCTCAAACTCTTCAATGGCATTGTATCTGACCTCTTCCCCAAGATCCGTGAAGAGCCGATTGACTATGGCACCCTTGATGAGTCCATAAGGAATGTCTGTGCAAACAAGTGCCTTAAAGATGTGGATGGTGAGGGTGCTGAATTGAATTACATGATTTATATAGGAAATTTATAAGTCATTCTTGCAGATTCAGTTCTGCTTTATCATCTGAATAGACAAAATTGGAGTCAGACTTAAAGTGAAATGGCATAATTAATTGTTCAAGTTTACAATTGCTTTAGAAGATTTGGACGTTGAAACTCAGTTATTGATATTATTCTGCAATGCGAAAGCAAGATCTTTTCTGCAATTGTTTAGCCTATAGAAGAAATGACTATTTTTTTTTAAATAACAGTAAATGGCCAAAAACAAACCTTAAAAAAACAAAAACAAAAATGATATAACAGAGAAATGCCAGATTCAACAGCAAGCAGCACAACAAGCTGTTTTGATGACTAAAATGGAAGACTTCAAGGGCAACACATACACTTAACACACAAATGTACTTCATTGAACATGTACTCGATGATGTCACCTATATACTGTTTAACTGCAGGTTGACAATGCGTATATATAAGTACTTTAACTGTTAAAAGCTATTAGTTATTAGTAAATAATAAAGTAATGGTAACTTATAATAACCTTATCTTATCAGATTTTGATTGTCATGCAATAATGCATAATAATAATTATGTAAAATGCACTATACAAATAAACTTGAATTGAATTGAATTAAATTAAATTGAATTGAATTGAATAAAAATCAGTTGTTTAAATGGCTGTGCCCTCTCTTAATGAAAAGAATAAGGTCAAAACACCATTACATTTCCAACACAAAGTTTGGTTGTGAGAACACACTGGGTCACCTGACTAATCAGAACACTGTCAACTTGATGGAGGGAGGGCATGTAAGCCAAGTACACCATGTTTTTCAACAAAAAAATAACGCACAGTAGAGGTTTGTGAATGTTTTCCTTGTCTTGCAGGCTATATAACCAAATGCATTCAGTTGTACGAGACCACTGTAGTCAGACACGGTCTAATGTTGGTGGGACCATCAGGCTCTGGGAAAACTAGGGTAAGCTTCCCTAATGCATAAACCTTCAAAACAAAAATAAATATTTGATTTTGTACTTTTTTACAACTATAAATATACAGTTCAAGTAAGAATTATTATCCCTCCTGATTATTTTTCCCTAAGTTCTGTTTAACAGGAAGGTTTTTTCAACACATTTTTAAACATAATAGTTTTAATAACTCATTTCTTATAATTGATTTCTTTTATCTTTGCCATGATGACAGTAAATAATATTTTACTAGATATTTTTTAAGATGTTAGTACTCTGCTTAAAGTGACAATTAAAGGCTTAACCAGGTTAATTAGGCAAGTTAGGGTAATGAGGCAAGTCATTGCATAACAATGGTTTGTTCTGTAGACAATCAGAAAAAATATTGCTTAAAGGGGCTACTAGTATTGACCTTAAAATAGTTTTTAACAAATTCAAAACTGCTTTTATTCTAGCCAAAAATAAAACAAATAAGACTTTATCCAGAAGAAAAAATATTATAGGAAATACTGTGAAAAGTTCCTTGCTCTCTTAAACATACTTTGGGAAATATTTAAAAAAGAAACAAAAAACTCACAGGAAGGCTAATAGTTTTGAATTCAACTATAAATATATGCACTCTCACATACTTTTAGTGTTATGAAGTGCTGGCAGCAGCCATGACGGCTCTGAAAGGCCAGCCCTCAGTTAGCGGAGGAGAATATGAGGCTGTACAGACCTATGTGCTTAATCCAAAGTCCATCACCATGGGGCAGCTTTACGGAGAATTCGACCAGCTTACTCACGAATGGTGAGTGTGCTGTGCACTGGATTTTTGTGTTTTCTCGTACCGTACAGGTTGTTAAAGTCCACATAAACCAGATGCTGCGACCGTTTTTTTTTTTTTTTTCGTATTGTGACAGTTCCTAGAGAAACAGAATATTAAATTTAAAAAAAAATACCTCGAGCCGATTGGATTTGGTAAAGTTGGCATTTCATTCCGAAAGATCTGGAAAAAGGTTTGGGGAGAGTTATTACAACCTAACAGACTCCTCCTCCTCACCATTTCTGTTTGTTATCAAAACTGACAGCTGGAGGGGTGTGGTTAAGTATGTTAGCCACGCCCAATACCCCAGACAGATGCAATCTGACAATTTAACTGAAAACAAACAGGAAGTGCATTTTCAGATTTTAATTTTAGATTACATGGACAAACTTTTTTTTTCTTAATGACATGCACAGATGTTAAAACTAGCCATGAGCTAACAAAATCATATGTTAGTTTTGGTTTAATTTGTACTTTAGATGTAACTCACACTATTTTATTACAGGACAGATGGTATACTGTCTTGTCTCATTCGGGATGGAGCTTCATCCATGGAGCAGGAAAAGAAGTGGTACATGTTTGACGGGCCTGTAGATGCCGTGTGGATCGAGAACATGAACACAGTTCTGGATGACAACAAGAAACTGTGTCTGAGTTCCGGAGAGATCATCAAACTCTCTGATGTATGAGAGTTTCTAGATAATTGTCTGTATGTGTTGTATCGCCTCATAATTTTTAGTTTGCTTCTTTGACATTTTGACAGGCGATGACAATGATGTTTGAGGTGCAGGATTTGGCGGTGGCCTCTCCTGCCACAGTTTCTCGCTGTGGCATGGTGTATCTGGAGCCGAGCATTCTGGGTTTGACTCCATTCACAGAGTGTTGGCTCCGAACAATCCCTGACATGTTTCGGCCCTACGCGGATCAAATCAACTCGCTCTTTACAAGGTTCTTGCAGGTGACTGGTCTTAGAGTGTTTTTGTTAAATTCGTTAAGTAAAATTAAACTAAAAGACAACAGAATGTGGGGTGGCACAGTGGGTAGCGATTTCGCCTCACAGCAAGAACGTCGCTGGTTCGAACTTTGGCTGGGTCAGTTGGCATTTCTGTGTGGAGTCTGGGTTTTCTCCCCGTGTTTGCATGGGTTTCCTCCAGGTGTTCCGGTTTTCCCCACAGTCCAAAGACATGCGCTATAGGTGAATTGGGTAAGCTAAATTGTCCGTAGTGTATGTATGTGAATGAGTGTGTATGGGTGTTTTCCAGTGATGGGCACCAGCTGGAAGTAAATATGTTTACTTATCTATATTTATTCTATATTCATTCAGGTTTTTATATTTTTTTCAAAAGTATTATTGAATAATGTGCAAATGATTATATCATTTGATTTTATGATTTATGTATAATACAATTCTGTAAAGTAATATTTTCTCTCTTTTAGTAGATACTGTATATTATTTGAGAGATTTACATTGTCTAACAAACAAGTTATTCTAATTTAATTTGCATTGTAAACCTATAGTAAAAAATATATAATTATTTTCTTTTTTTTAATATTTAATTTAAATATGATAATTTCAATAAATATGACATAAGTAAAGTTAATTAAAGATAATAAAAATATACATATTTATGGAAATGTAATATTTATACAAAAATAATTATATACATATAATGATCATATTAATAATTATTATATTAACATAAATATATACATAATTAGATTTATTTTTAAAAAAGTAATTTCATAGACAAACATTCATACATTTTCTTTTCAGCTTAGTCCCTTTATTAATCAGGGGTTACCACATTGGAATGAACCACCAACTTATCCAGCATATGTTTTATGCAACAAATGCCTTTCCAGCTGCAACCCAGTACTAGGAAACACCCATACACTCTCATTCACACACATACACTACAGAAAATTTAGCCTACCTAATTCACCTAAAACTCCTTCTTGCTGTGAGGTGACAGTGCTACCCACTGCGTCACCACGCTGCCCCTAGACAAAAACAACATTTGTAAAATATTACTGTATTATATTTCTTAATATATTAGAGTAAAATATGGGACTGCACAGTATTGTATATGTTTGCAAATGTCATTTCATTGATTGTACAGTAGGTCATGTAATCATTCACTTTTAGTTTGTTTGTCATACATTAGTATGATGTAATATTAGTCATGTTTTTATTGATTTATTTCTATTTATATGAAGTAGTGTAAAAGTGTAAAAGGTTTTTTAGTAATTGTGTAAAAGGTAAAGGTAAAAGGTTTTTGAGGTGTTGTTATTACATTTATTTCCTCAGGACTCCATCAGATTTGTCAGAGAGTCCATAAAGGAGGTGATCACCTCCATGGACAGCAATCTCACCTGCTCTCTGCTCAAACTACTGGACTGCTTCTTTCAGCCGTTCATCCCACGAGAGGTCAGAGAAATTTTGGAATTATAGTGGTTATGCTTGGAAAATTATGCAAAGTTTACTTTTTAATGTGTGTGTATGCGTGTGTGTTTAGGGCAAGAAGCCTCATTCCCAGGAGAAACTATCTCGGTTGCAGGAGCTGATTGAGCCCTGGTTTATCTTTGCACTCATATGGAGTGTTGGAGCTACAGGAGATGCCAACAGCTGCCAGCGTTTCAGTGTCTGGCTCAGGGGCAAGATGGTCGAAGAAAAGGTCAATACCACCATGAATTTTTCAGATGATTTAGTGCTACCAGCAATGATTTACATGCTGCAGACAATGAAAGAGAAGTGCCAGAAAGTGTTTGTTTCATTATTTTTCTTATGTTTTTATGTAAGTAGTTGTTTATTCAGAGTGAGAAGCGGCCTACTGAATTTTGCCTTTTGTGTATTTCAGATCCAACTGTGCTTCCCTGAGGAGGGAGCAGTTTATGATTACAATTTAGATGATGCAGGAATAAGTTGTTTTGATGATGAGGACGGAGAGGGTAAAGAGAGGAAGGTGAGAGAATGTTTTTGAACATTTTTGAAAATTATTTTTGGTTATAAAACATTATGTGTGCTGTATCTTGAGCTGAAACTTTACATACACACTCAAGGGACATCAGAGACTTGTTTTAATTTTTTTTTTCAAAGGGACCTCCTTTAATGTGTGATGATTATGCAAAAGTAAAAGTCATTTTTTGAAGTGCATTAATTAGATTTTTCATATACTTCAGGTACAGTGGGTCAGCTGGATGAAATATGCCCAGGAAGTGGTCATCACCCCTGAAACAAGATACTCAGACATCATTGTGCCCACAGTCGACACCGTTCGCATGTCTTTCCTGATAGACATGCTACTTTCCAATAAGAACCCTGTAGGTCATTCAACATAGAGTCAACATAATGCCTTTCATATGTGTTGCTAAGCTCGCTCCCTTCTCTAATTTGTCAGGTCTTATGCATTGGGCCCACCGGCACAGGAAAGACCCTGACCATATCAGACAAGCTTCTGAAAAATATGCCTGCTGAATACATAACTCACTTCCTGATGTTCTCAGCTCGTACCTCCGCCAACCAGACACAAGACTATATTGACAGCAAACTGGATAGGAGGTTTTTGTTTCTCTAATCAGTCTTTTAATTCTCTGTATATATTATTTTGAACATCAAATTTAGAATTTGCATGTGTTACAGGCGTAAAGGTGTGTTTGGGCCTCCTCTGGGAAAATATTTCATCTTCTTTATCGATGATCTGAACATGCCCATGCTAGAGACATATGGAGCTCAGCCTCCAATTGAACTCCTGCGCCAGTGGATGGATCACGGAGGCTGGTATGACAGGAAACAGATAGGTGTGTTTAACAAGAATGAAGCATTTTTAAACTCAAACTACTGGTCAAATGTTTTTGGGTTCAGTCAAAATTTTGGCTGATACCGATAACCGATACACAGTATAAGCCATTAAATACAAATATTGGTTTGTATTTTTCAGAAAATGGCTAAAAAAAATGCAAACAAATACAGTGGACATTTGAATTTATTTAAAAAATGTAACAGTTTTTTTGCTACTGGCTCATATATATTTTTTTATTTATGTATTTATTGCATTTCATAATTTTAAATCAATTTATACATCATTTCTGGACATTATTATTATTTTTATTTATTGTTATCATTAATCACTCTTACTCTACTTTTATTTAACAAGAGTGAACATTTTGAAAGCATTTTTAAAAGCAAACTACTGTTCAAAGGTTTGGTGTCAGTCTACATTTTGGCTGATACTGCTAACCGATAAATCTTTATATTTCTTTAGAAGCCGATAACAATTTATATAGGCCGATAAATACAAATATTGGTATGTATTTTTTTAGAGAATGGCTACAAAAATGCAAACAAATGCAGTGGACAATTGATTTTATTTAAAAAACTTAACAGTTTTTTTGTTATTGGCTCATATTTTTTTATTTATCTATGTAAGTATTGTATTTCATAGTTTTGAATCAATCTATGCATCATTTCTGGACATTATTGTTTTTTTATTTATTGTTATCATTAATCAGTCTTACTCTACATTTATTTAACAAGAATGAACATTTTGAAAGCATTTTTTAGCACAAACTACTGTTCAAAAGTTTGGGGTCAGTATAAATTTTAGCCCATACCCATAAATCTTTACATTTCCTTAAGTCGATAACCAATATATATAGATAAATACAAATACTGATATGTATTTTTCAGAGAATGGATACAAAATGCAAACAAATACAGTGGACAATTGATTTTATTTTAAACACTTTTTATTTTTATAAAAAAACATTTATTGTATTTCATAGTTTTAATCAATTTATGCATAACTTCTGGATATCATTGATTTTCTTCATTTATTGTTATCATTAATCAGTTTCTCTGCATTTATTTAACAAGAAAGAACAATTTGAAAGCATTTTTAAACACAAACTACTGTTCAAATGGTTGGTGTCAGTCTCAATTTTGGTAGATACGGATAACTGATAAATCTTTATTTATAATTCTTTTTATAAAGTTTATAAAGTGATAACTAATATATACTGATATATATATATATATATATATATATATATATATATATATATATATATATATATATATATATATATATATATATATAGGCAAATAAATAAAAATATTGATATGTATTTTTTAGAGAATGGATACAAATTGTTAATGGTGGACAATTTATTTTATTTTATAAACGTAACTGCTTTTTTCGTTACTGGCTCTTGTTTTTTTATTTATTTTTGTATTTAATGTATTTTATAGTTTTTAATCAATTTATGTATCATTCTTGACATTATTGTCTTTTTTATATTTATAAACCACTTTAAATCTACCTTTATTCAACATCAATTTGACAATGTTTTCACGGAATTTTAGGCAGGTATATTGAGTTGGTGAGGAAGGAGGTGTTTATTCTATTTTATTTTATTTGTATTATTTATAATTTATTGCTGTATGTTAAAAAAGGAGTATCCTGACATTCATTGGAATTGTGCATCCTAAATTATGTTATGTATATTCCCAATAAACATACTTATTAAAACAAACTTAACTGCAAAAACATCAAACATAAAGTTTTTTTTTTTAAGAATTATTTTTGACTTAATAGATAGACAGTATTGAGACAGGAAGACAGGAAGTTGGAGAGTCAGAAGGGGCTAGGGAAGGAAAATATCCTCAAGCTGGGATTCGTACTCAGGACACCTTGACGTGCTACTGCACCATATGTCAGCACGCTAACCACTAGGCTATTGCACCGACAAACAATTGCTTTTAAAGTCCCTTTTCAAAAAAGGGGAAAAATTGCTAATCAGCATTTCAGACAAAGAAGATGTCCAAAGGAACATATCAAAATGCTTATTTAAACTATTACAATACTTTACAATGATACTGTTATACAAATGCAGCCTTGAGTCATCTTTTCCATCAATCTTAAACCTTTCTAAAATCCTCCCCAGGTACATTTAAAAACCTTGTTGACATAAACTTCGCCTGTGCGATGGGCCCCCCCGGCGGAGGAAGGAATCCTATCACTCAACGCTTCACACGCCACTTCAACTTCCTGTCATTCACTGAGATGGAGGACGCCAGCAAGGGGAAGATCTTCTCCACCATCCTGGGCAGCTGGATGCGTGAGTGCCAGTAAACATACGGGCATCTAGATATCAGTGGGGGGTTTTAGCAAGTAACACCTGTCAGATGATATTATAGGATTTTAAATGGAAATGTTTTTGATGTCTTTAAATATGTTTTCAAACGCGGAGAGACACAAAAAGAAGATAGATATAAAAATTGTATACACTTTTTTACGAAGCCTGCATGTATAATGCTTTATACAGATATTCATAATGCATTCACAATCACTTAATGACCTTATAACATGTTGTATCATCTGTTTAATATCATAACAACAGTTAAACTATTAGTTAAAGTATGCTTAATGCTTTATAGTACATACCAGTGTTAGATTTAATAAAAATGAATCGCAAATATATTTCTCCTTAGTTTCCTTTTCACGTAGTTTGATTTTCACTGAAGGAAATGTCTTAAAATCATTTCCTGGTGTCTTTTGCACAGTATTATTACTGTCATTACAAATATTCTTGAGAATATAAACACGTTTTATTAACTATAAAATAGCGTTTAAAAAAAAAAGATTTATTTATCATATTTTTATGACAAATGTAAAAGAGAAAATAACAATATAAATAGAAAAAATGTACATAACAGTACAAAATTGATAAAAAAGCAATAAAAGACCACACTAAAACCCACATATTGTACAACAAACAATATATGATGTGCATAAACAGTATATGATGTGCATTAATGTTTACAAATTAAGCATAGAAAAACTACAAAAGCACGCACAACCCTCTTAACTGGGTGCTCAGCCATAAACGCAAAAGGTGTAAATTAAATATTCATCAAAGGCGATATTCATCAGACAGTCAAACAGACAGTTACTTTCAGGACTGTCTCATGAAGAGCCGTGTGGCTCAAAACGTTACATGCTTTGTGTCAGCCTTTTTAATTTAATAAATTTGTATTTTTTGGAGCTTTGGTGTTGCCACCTTTGATGAATGCACTGCAAAAAATTATTTTCTTACTTAGATTTTTTGTCTTGTTTCTAGTCCAAATATCTGCAAATTCTTAAATCAAGAAGCATTTTCTGGACAAGCAAAACATACTGTCTTGTTTTAAGAAATAATATGCCAAAATTAAGTGAGTTTTTCCTCAAATCAAGCAAAATAATCTGCCAATGGAGTAAGCAAAATAATCTTGTTTTTTGATTTGTGATAAGATTATTTTGCTTACCCCATTGGCAGATTATTTTGCTTGATTTGAGGAAAAACTTACTTCATTTTGGCATATTATTTCTTAAAACAAGACAGTATGTTTTGCTTGTCTAGAAAATGCTTCTTGATTTAAGTACTTTTAGATATTTGGACTAAACAAGGGACAAAAAAATGTTGGTAAGAAAAACATTTTTTGCAGTGTGTTTAATTTACAAATTAAGCATAGAAACAGGTCAGTACTGAAAGATTCTTGCTATTTATTCAGTCATTTTCTTTTCGGCTTAGTCCTTTTATTAATCCCAGGTCGCCACCGTGGAATGAACCGCCAACTTATCCAGCACATGTTTTATGCAGCGGATACCCTTCCAGCTGCAACCCATCTCTGGGAAACATCCATACACACTCATACACTATGGACAATTTAGCCTATCCAATTCACCTGTACCACATGTTTTTGGGCTGTGGTAGAAACCGGAGTACCCGGAGGAAACCCACACGAACGCCCGGAGAACATGCAAACTCCACACAGAAACGCCAACTGACCCAGCCGAGGCTCGAACCAGCAACCTTCTTGCTGTTAGGCGACAGCACTACCTACTGCACCACTGCGTCGCCTCTTGCTATTTTATACATAAATAATACCCCAAATGCATTATAAATACACTGTTAATGATTTGTGTAAATTACACAGTATTTAACGGTAATATAAACTGTATTTTACTGTAGGACAGTTATACTGTATATTACTGTATTTTAAACTTGCATTGTGAAAATTACTGTATATTTTACAGTAAAGATATACTGTACAATACAATTCTGTGAATACATATATAGCAAGATAAGTAGTGCTGTAAATGTGAATACAGTATTTTTGCTGTAATTGATTTACAGTAGGTTACTGGCAAACTGCTGCCAGTAAGTTACAGTAGATTCTACAGGAATTTGTTAACAATGTACAGACTTCAAGTTTTAGAGATATTAAAGCACTGAATGCCACATTTATTGATGTATTGCGCAATGACTCAAAGTTTGATGTCAACCTTGAGCTTATTTTGTTGTTTATGTAGCTCTAGCGAAACTCAAGCTCATTTTGTTTCTTTCATTTCTAGAGAAAACTCCAGAAATGAAGCCGTTCTGCAAGCCACTTGTTGATGCTACTATCAGGGTTTACTCCACTATTACATCCGCTCTCCTACCCACACCTGCCAAATCCCACTATACTTTCAACCTGAGAGATCTCTCCAAAGTCTTCCAGGGCATCCTGATGGCAGAGGCTGGAAAAATAGAGGTACCGCTATTGATGAAGCTCAGTTTATTTTTGATTTTCCATGTTTAATCTATTCATCAAAAGACAAGAAAAACAGCGTCAGACACCAGTCCCAACTCAAATTAAATATCTACAAGTCTGGGAGCCCGTTGACGTAAAAATAGCTGTAAGATCAAAAACAAATAACGGTGTCTGTGCTGTCTTAAAAAGTTTAAACATGTCTTACATTTTAAAAAAATTTTAGGCCCTAAAATTAACAGTAATTATGTGTTGTAGGTCTTAAATTGTTTTAAACAGGTGTGAATTTATGTTCTACTGTATGTCCATGCAAATCCATTATGGTTTAATTATATTGCTTGCAATAACTTTTGTTAAAAAGTTCTTATATTTATAGCTACCTGTTAAGGACAAGGACCGGGACAGGGTGTTGTGCATACATTCAGTTTACTATAGTTTTTAAATGTGTCACATTTTTGAAATGGAAACATTGTTGAGGAAAAATAAGTGTCTGTATACAATTAGTTTGCTTATTTTGACACATTATTTCAAGGATGTGGCTAAGAAATAACTCAATTTAAAATAACAAACTTATAAGATATAGGTTATAAAATATAGCTATAAGTTTTTTTTGTATTTAACTCTATAAGTCTGAAATTTGATTCATAATGATCTTAAAATGTTTCAAAAAGTCTTAAATTTGACTTGATGAAACCTGCAGAAACCACCAAACAAGTGCATGAAGAAATCAGCCAAATTATACTAATAGGAATGTATTGTCCAGAGGTCACAACTGAAGTGCAGAAAGTGACAAGGAATGCAAAACATTATTGAGATGAACTCTCAGTGCCATATTTCTAGTAACACACATGCACATGTTTAAAAGGCTCATTAACTTAATCATTGCAATGTCCAAGAATTTTAATTTCAACACTGCATTCAATCATTCCCATAATCAATAAAATTAATTCACATGATTATAATATAAAGCAAGTTTTGTAAATGTTGATAGGTATTGTTTCACCTTTTGTTTTATATAAATTGGTAGATTCACATTTCGATAAAGATGAATCATAGAACTTGTTATTGTGTCTTCATTTTATTATGTCTTTAATTAGGTGATTTTTTGTAATCTGTGCATTTTTTGTATCTTTTTATAAAATGTAATGGTTACACTTTATGATAAGGTTGTCCCAGTTAATTTTAGTTAATTATTTTAATGATCAATACATTTACTACAGTATTTGTTCATGATAGTTAATAAAAATACAGTTGCTTATTGTTAGTTCATGTTAAATTAACAAATGTTAACAGTCATGAATTTTAATTTTAATAATGCGTTAGTAAATGTTGAACTACGATGAATAAATGCTGTATTAGTGTTGTTTCTAATTAGTTCATGTTAATAAATGCATTAACTAATGAAACCTTATTGTAAAGTGTGACCAATGTAACAATATGGAATATTGAGAAATAAGGCACTCAATTTAATCCTGAAAACGCATTGTAATACTGAAAACAATCCATTTTTTTGCACTTTATTTGTGATCTCTGGACAATAAAATAAGTATTCTCAACAATTTTTTTGTACACTGCAAAAAAAAAATTTTTTGATTTTCTTAGATAGATTTTTTGTATTGTTTCTAGTCCAAATGTCTACAAATTCTTAAATAAATAATAATTTTTTGCTTGTCTAAGTTTGTTTTAAGAAATAACATGCCAAAATTAAGAAGTTATTTAAGCAAAATAATCTTATGTCAAAAGAAAAAACAAGATTATTTTTTTTGCCACATTGGCATATTATTTAGCTTGTTTTAAGGAAAAAAGCACTTAATTTTAGTATATTATTTCTGATTCAAAAAAATTAATTAAGAACAGCAGTGCATTATTTATGTTTAATCTGTTCATAAAAACTTTTATGTCTTGTCTGTTTGCACAGAATAAAATACAGCTACTGCAGCTTTGGTATCACGAGAGCTGCAGAGTTTTCCAGGATCGACTGGTCAGTGAAGAGGACAGGAGTTGGTTTGACCAGCTCCTCCATAACCATATAAAGAAGTTTGGGTGTGAGATTGAGGAGGTGGTCCCTTATCAGCCCATTCTCTATGGGGACTTCATGTTTCCTGGGGCTGTAAAGGTTTACCAGCTTATTCAAGATAGAGAGAAGGTAAAGAAGGCTTGGAGATATTCAATGTGTGTTAGTGGTGCTTGGTGTAAATATGAGTGATATATCAAATTGTGTGGATGCCATTATAATTGACATTTACATTTAGTCATTTAGCAGACGCTTTTGTTCAAAGTGACTTACAATTGAGACATTCAGTGATTCAACAATACAGAAATTTTTTTCATTATTTCTAAACAGTGTTTGATATTAAGTAAAGTGAATTTAGCAGTGATGGTGACCATATAAAAGAAAGTTCCTCGTTTGTTTAACAGATATTATTTTTGTTTATTATAATAATGTCTGTGGACACGATGGTTTAGCTTGATTATCACATTGTAAAAGCAGTGTTGTTATGAAATAAATTTGTACTGGGATTTACAACTCTGTGATATTTTACGATTTTAAATTCAAGATATTAGATTACATTTTTTATTTTTATTTTTTTTCACATGGAAGTTACATAATTTTTGGGGCTAATTTAAGGATTTAAATGATTTTTTTCTTGAGTCATTTATAACATGCATTTAAAAATGTAACTCGCTCCAACCATCTTAGCAACTTTGTAACTACAATGTTTTTTAATTTTGTTTTCAACAAAATAGAAGCATTTCAGAAGAGATTTTAGGCTAAATTAAAACTATATGGTCTATATTGATTTTTAGTAAAATGTAATTTTATACTGTTCTTATTTAATAATAAAAATAAGAACGATATATATTTTTAATATTTAAAGGTAAACAAATAACATTTTGCTGTATATGTTGCAAAATGCTAGTTTTAGTTCCTTTAATTAAACTAATTGAAATTTAAAAAGAATTATATATTCTCCTGAGAATGTAAAAATGTGTTTTATTTTATTATTTTTTTTTTTTTGCATTGTCATTTATTTTGGCGCAAGTCAGAATTATTAGCCCTCCTTCATTATAAGCCCCCCTGTATAATTTTATCCAATTACTGTGTAACGAAAAGAAGATTTTTCTAACGCATTTCTAAACATAATAGTTTTACTAATTCACTTTTAATAACTAATTTCTTTTATCTTTGCCATGATGACAGTACAAAATATTTTACTAGATATTTTTCAAGATACTAGTATTCAGCTTAACCAGCAATTTAAAGACTTAACTAGGCAAGTTAGGGTAATTAGGCAAGCCATTGTACAACAATAGTTTGTTTTGTAGACAATCGGAAAAAATATTGCTCAAGGGGACTAAAAATATTGATGGTTTAAAATTATTTTTAAAAATTATAAAATGCTTTTATTCTAGCCAAAATAAAACAAATGCGACTTTCTCTAGAAGAAAGAATATTATAGGAAATACTGTGAAAAATTCTTGCTCTGTTCAACATTATTTGGGAAATATTTATTTTTTCAAAATCACTGGAGGGCGAATCATTTTGACTTAAACTGTATATTGCAAAATATGTATACTTTTTAAATCATATGCCACTTTGAAGTTTTGCTCTTTATCTGCCTCGTACAGCTGGCCCGTGTGATGGAAGAGTACTTGGATGATTATAACCAGACCAGCACCTCTAAAATGAAGCTGGTGCTTTTCATGGACGCCATACAGCATGTGTGTCGTATCAGCCGTATCCTGCGCCAGCCCCTCGGGAACGCTTTGCTGTTAGGCGTCGGTGGCAGTGGACGCCAGTCTCTTACCAGGCTTGCCACGCACATGTAAGAGCTGCTGAAGCGTTTATTGTGCTGAATCCTAAAAAATATAATTAGCATTACTAACGAGAGTCCGTTCAATAAGGCTTCATTTGATCAAAAACAGAAGTCATACTGGCCCATTTAATTGGAGCTCTAACAGTTTTGACATCAATACTTCTGTCAAAGTGATTCTTGCCTGTAATCATTTTGCTTGCCACCCATGTAGAACATGAAAGAATTGTTATGTCATGCCTGGAACACATGCCAACAAGATTCAATATCTGAACACGTCTAATAAATCGTTACATATGTAATGCAAATGCATCATTTTAGATCAAATATTTACATACATACAAAGATTTTTCATATTAATTGGTGCAATGTGTTGTTTAAAGTGACACTATATATAAATACTCCCTATATTTATTCTTTTTAAACTTCACTTCAATCTTTTCATCGTTGGACCACAAAGAAATTATTACAGTGAGGCTGCCATTATTTACCACCATCAGTCAAAATAGGAACACCCACCTCATTGAAGTCCCTTAGAAACATATTGAACAGTCATTCATTTATATGGAAACCAGGCGTCAGTGATACACCAAATAAAAGACTGACACACATTTTGTCTTTGTGACCGACCTTGTATTATCAGAGCTGAGTATGAGTGCTTCCAGATTGAACTCTCCAAAAACTATGGCCTCCTGGAGTGGAGAGAGGACATCAAGAGCATCATGCTAAAGGCTGGCATGCAGAACGTGCAAATCACCTTCCTGTTTGTAGATACACAGGTGAGATTACAGATTGGCATCATAAATTATATATATTATAGCAGGGAAAATAAGCATTGAATGCTTCATGTTTTTTCCTGGGAATAATATTTCTAAAGGAGCTGTTGACATGGGATTGAACCAGATTTTGGTAAAAACATAAACAATACAGACATAAAACAAAACTAAAAATATCTGAATAATGAGTCATGTGCAATAACAATGGAATGACACAAGTAGAAAGTACTGAACTGCTGAAACATATTTAATACTTGATGGTGATGGCAGCTTGAAGACGTCTCTCATATGGAGAATGAAGTTGCATAAATTGCTCTGGTGTTTTTCACAGACTTCAACAGAGTGTAAAAATCTTGATGGTTCTGTGGGTCTCGTCTATCACATCTGATCTTTATTTTGTATTAAATCTAATCTAATGGATTCAAGTCAGGTGATTGGCTGGGCCATTCTACAGCTTGATTTTTTTTTTCTGATTTTTCTTGGCTGTGTTTTGGATCATTGTCTTGCTGAAACGTCCACTCTGGTTTCATCTTCATCATCCTGATAATGCAGATGTTGGACTGAAGCAGCTAATATTTGTTTACAATGAGGAAGGGCAAAGGGTTACTGAAGAACTACTCAGAGATTTCAGGTGTTGGGCTTTCACTGCCTTTCTATACCTCCCTTTCTTCAAGTGTTCAATACTTCCCCCTGCGTCATTTCATTGTATTTCCCATAACTTAATTAGTAAACTAACTCGATTTGTTTTCTTTGCATATATGGATTTCTTTGGTTGTTTCCAACATCCAGTGAAATTTCATGTTAACAGCACCTTTATTCAATTCAATTTGGTGACGTGTTCAATACTTATTTTCCCAGCTGTATATATATTTTATATTGTGCAAAAGTTTTGGTCTCCCAAGAGTTTTGGTGTTTTAGCAAAAGTTTAATGACCTTCCAGATATAAGGCTTGTCTCTGCATTAAAATATAAACAGAAATATGTACACAAATAAACTTTTTTTTAATCTCTTTCCAGACAATCCCATACTGCCTCTATAATACTACGGTATATTAAGGTCTGGACTCTGTGTAGTCCATTTCATCTGTTTTAGTTTTTTTTCTATAAATATAATGTATTTCTGTAAATATCATATAATTTTATAATCAATATCATTATAAATACCATTACTGCTCAGGTGAAGAGCGAGAGATTGTTATACTACATTATAAATAAATATAAATAATTATACTAAAATGACGAATCTGATGGTGGCCAAAAAGTTTTGAAAGCTGCTAAAGACACTAAAAGCAATATTGTGCAATTTTACTATGTAACACTGCAGATTTAATTTGTTAATTTGTAAATAAGTTAAATACATAAGGTAAAATGAACTAGCATATTTCTAAACCAAAAATCTTTTAAAGCATTTAATTGTTTTATTAATAAATATATTTTAACAGTTGCTAATACATTACTAAAATCGAACGTTGCACATCTTGATATTAATAATTACAATAACATGAATAACAATGATTATTTATTAACATTAACAGAGATTCAAAAATACTCAAACAAATGAATTGGTTATCATCTGTTAATGTCAGTTAATACATTAAATGTTATTTTAAATGACTAAACTGTCATTTATTTCTGTCAGGGTTGAATTGTTAGCATTTGTTTAAAATATGATTCTTTGGTACTCAAGTTATTTTATTTTAAGAAGTGTATTTATTTAAAATCCATTGTAACATAATAACAGTCCTAACCTAGCTATTTAAAGTCAATGTATTTTTTTTATTAATTAATAAATTATTAACCCTGCAAAAAAAATGTAATTTTGCACTTCCCTGATTGTAGTACAACAGTAAAAGCAGCCCTCAGTAAGTTCTCATCACTGAGTAAAAGAAGCCATATAACAAACTTCTCTGATCTTAGGCTAATGGACTTTCCAGTCTGTAAATAAATTATCCTAATAGATTTATCTGTACCTCGTCACTATTTCCAAACACACACACACTTTTTCAGCAACATCCTACTCAAGTCTTCAACATAAATATTTTTGTCTGTTTGTTTCTTTGTGTGTTTTCTTTTCTGGTTTTCAGATTAAGAGCGAATCTTTCCTGGAAGATGTGAACAACATCCTCAACTCAGGCGACGTGCCCAATCTGTACACTTCAGAGGAACAGGAGCGGATCCTCACTGCTATGAAACCGGTGGTTCAGGACATGGGCCAGCAGCCCACCAAAGCCAACCTCATGGCTGCCTACGTCAATAGAGTCCGCAGCAACATCCACACTGTCCTCTGCATGAGGTTGATCTTTATATATTAAGATATATCAGTGCTACAAATTCATATAGTTACTTTTTGTCATATATTTTAAATGTATTTAAAGAACGACAGCATATAACTTTTTATCGACAAAAGATATAGATGCCAGTGGGAGGTTAGTATGAAGAAAATATAAACATACAAACTACAAGTGTGTGTTGGCCTTTTGCTGATTAAAGGGTCTTTTACACTGGTAATATATATGCACATTTCAGTGAATAAAACCATAAAATTAGGTTTACTCTTATGTCAGACAGATCTCATTTTCAGCCATGGTGGATATGTCAGACAGATCTTTTTTTCAGCTATGATTTATACATAGTATGCAATGTTACAGTTTGTAAACTCTTTTCTCTGTCTCCATCTACAGTCCGGTAGGGGAAGTGTTTCGCGCTCGCCTCAGACAGTTTCCCTCTCTTGTAAACTGCTGCACTATTGACTGGTTCAGTGCTTGGCCACAGGAGGCACTAGAGTCTGTAGCAACATCTTTTCTCAATGAGCTTCCAGAACTGGAGTCCAATCCTAAGACCATCCAGAGCCTGGTAAGGACGAGTGTGTCAAATGGATCCCAAAACTCATGATTCAGATCACAGTTTTATGACTTACAGTTGAAGTCAGAGAGTTATTAGCCCTCCTGTATATTTTTTCCCCAATTTCTAATGGAAAGAAGATTTTTTTAGCACATTTTTAAGCATAATAGTTTTAATAACACATTTTTAATAACTGATTTATTTTATCTTTGCCATGAGGACAGTAAATAATATTTTACTAGATACTTTTCAAGATACTAGTAATTCAGATTAAAGTAACACTTAAAGGCTTAATTAGGGTAATTAATTTTATTAGGTAAGTTAGGGTAATTAGGCATGTCATTGTATAACAATGTTTTTTCTCTGTAGACACAGAGAAAAAAATGATCGAAAAAATAGTGCTTAAGGGGGCTAATAATATTATTGACCTTAACATTTAAAAAAAAAAATCAAAACTGCTTTTATTGTAGGCAAACTAAAAAAACAAGACTTTGTCCAGAAAAAGAATTATAGGAAATACTGTAAAAAAATTCCTTGCTCTGTTTAACCTCATTTGGAAAATATTTGAAAAAGGACAGAAAATTCACAGGACGGCTAACAGTTTTGACTTCAGCTGTATTTGGTCAATAAAATGGAACTGAAAACTCATGATTCAGATTACATTTCGTTTCTTTGCAGATCAGATCAGATCTTTTTTTAGATCAGCAAAAAATAAGATAAATATAATTTCCTTTTCTTAATTTATAAAAAAAAAACTACAGAAACTTTGTCAACTTAGAAATCAATGTAAGTTGAATAAATAAATAAGTTACTTGAATGAATTCACATAACTTTTTAAATATATTTTCCTTAAATGAATTAATTTATTTGTATCATAAAGCACATCCTGCACTTTATTGTATCACTCATGCCTTTTCATTAAAAGCTAAACCACAAATGCAAGCACTTTTGAGGACATATTTGAAGGTATATTATGTTTCAGAAGCAAACAACTGGTATCTGGTATTGTATTTTTTGTTTTCTTATACCATTATAACATGTGTACTTTACAGAGCATTAATATGTATGGTAGGCCTACTTTATTTTTATGCTTCAGTCATTGGTTCAATGTTGCTTGAGAGGCCATGTCACAATGCCTGCATGCTGTAAACCTGTCACAGCCAGGCTAGGTTCTTCCCACTCCCATTCACAGAATTCACCCGTTCACTGTCACTCCAATCAGCAAGACCCCCGACTACTAATCACCGATGCACATGCACGCCATTCCCCTTTCATCTTGTTACCTTGTAAACACCTGCATGCTCAATCACAAGGCATTCAAGTTCATCTCCTTCTTCATCAATTAGATTAATATGCCCCTTTCACATAAACATAACATGATTTCTGTAAATTGTATCGCATTTAAAAATGTTAAAAAGTCTTTCAAAGTCTTTCACTCTGGTTGTTAAACAAAAAAATCCACAATAAAAACAGCAGGTCATGTGGATGCCAATCTGTCTGTCATTATCTAAATAGATCAATTTGTTTAACTCCTAGTGTAAATGTATACATGAGCACAAAAATGATTTCTCTCTGTACAGGCGCTGATGTGTGTTGAAATCCATCAAATGGTGTCCAGGAAGTGTGAGCAATACCTAGCGGAACTTTCCCGCCACAACTCTGTCACACCTAAGAGCTACCTGGAGCTCCTGAGCATATTCTCATCTTTGATTGGCCAGAAGAAGCAGGAGCTTCACAGCGCTCGACAGCGAATGAAAACTGGCCTGGACAAGGTAATTCTTTTGAACTTCTCTCTTGTGTTGTTGTTTTTTTTACACAATACTTCCCAGTGGGCTCCTTTATAATAATAATTATAATAATAATTCATCTCCCCACGTTCACATGGGTTTCCTCTGGGTGCTCCGGTTTCCCCCACAGTCCAAAGACATGTACAGGTACAGTTGAATTAGGTAGACTAAGTTGTCGTCGTGTATAAGCGGGAATGAGTGTTTCTAAATGTGTGTATGGATGTTTCCCAGTGATGGGTTGCAGCTGGAAGGGCATCCGCTGCATAAAACATATGCTGGATAAGTTGGTGGTTCATTCCACTGTGGCAACCCCAGATTAATAAAGGGACTAAGCTGAAAAGAAAATGAATGAATGAATGATAATAATTCATTTTATTTATTTCTGGACACTCAAGGTTGCCTAACAACAAGCATCAACGAACATACCAAAACAATTAATAAAAAATAAAACAATGCCAGACAAACAGTTAAACATGAGAGAAGTTGAAGTGCAAACACATTGAAGTATAAAATAACATGATAAAGGATAATCATAGGAAAGCCTGCTTAAAAAGATGGGTCTTAAGACGAGATTTAAAGGTGTGAAGACTTTCACTGCTCCTTAGGTCCAAGGGAAGCGAGTTCCATAGCCGAGGAGCTGTAGAGCTAAAAGATACTGTATGGCTCCCATTGTGCTTAATTGAGTTTGAGGTGGCACCAGGGAGAAAGAGTGAGAGGGTGCTCGCTGCAGAGCCATTTGAGGAGAGCTGAGCTCCAGCGAGGGGGAGCATGAGCTGTTGCTCCTCCTCCTGTAAGCTGTTTTAATTCGTACACCAACCCCACCCCTAACCCTACCCCCAGTGACATCACTCGTAGAAGAAGTGCAAAAAAGGTGGAGCTCAAGCTTAAGCTCCCCCTCGCTGGACCTCAGCTCTCCTCAAATGGCTCTGCAGCGAGCACCACTTGGAAATAGTTGGCTGATCTTAGAGTGGGAGAAAGGCAAAAATGAAATTATAAATTATGGATGTATAAAATATGGAGAAGTTCAGTGAGATATTGATTTAATTTAAAAACAACTTAAAAAAATATTTCAATCAATTTGATGTCATAAACTTGACGTCCATTTGACATAAACACATTGATGCTCTTTTGACCATCAAAATGATGGCAATAAATATTATAATATAAAAAAAGTTTTATACATCTGAAAGCTTCAATTACAAATTGATGTAAAGTTTATTTATAAACTAATTTAGAGAGGATCACTTGCTTATGATTGCTTGCGGCTGGTCCCGCATTATCTAATTTATGATTCACCAATCAGACGATTCCTAAGCCACTATTGTCACGATTACCAGCGATCGTATTCCATAAGATCGCTGGACTGCACGAACAATAACCATGGACTACAAATCTGCCATTTATGGACTACATTTTCATACATGCACTGCGGTCACACTCACACATGCTTCCTCATCTAGACTGATTACTTGCACCACCTGAGGATTGTCAGAGACTGATTGCACACACTATTTAATCCACACACTCACCTATTCACTTTGCCGATTCATGTTTACTGATAGTGACATTACAACGCGTTTTCCTTGTCTTGTTTCTCCGTGTTTTGACCTCAACCTTGTTTACCTTTTGTCTCCGTCTGCCGCCTGCCTTCTGACCTCTTGCCTGTTATTCGACTACGATTCTGGACTGTCTCCATATACCTGTTTGCTGTTTGTGTTGACCATTGCTTGCCTGACGATTCTAATAAACCTGCACGTGGATCCAAACCTCTGTTGTCAGTGTCACTCCTCGTGGTTACAACTATAAATACCCTAAGCTCCATATAACAGCTATCTTCGTTTTGAAGAATCTCCCCTTCCACCCCTACTCCTCCTTCTTTCCTAGATAAGAGGCACGGTGGTCCAGTGGTTTGCACTGTTGCCTCACAGCAAGAACATCACTGGTTCTAGTCCTTACCAAGCCCGTTTCTGTGCAGTTTACACATTCTCCCCATGCTCACATGGGTTTCACCCGGGTTCCCCGGTTTCCTTCCACCGCACAAAAACATGCAACTTAAGTTAATTGACTAATCCAAATCGGCACCATAGACATGCTCCTAGTAAGCAGTTATCTCTTAAGATCAATCACTATCTGTTCATTAGCTACTGCAGCAGAGGATTTCTTAAGATCTACCTGTTCTCAAACTCCCCTCTCGCCTTGCAAATGGTAGGGAGTCCCGGGAGTCCCTATCTTATGAGCTCAGGGCTCTCTCCCGGGACAGCATGTCAAAGAAGCTTTATAATCAAACATCAGCTAACTGTGAACTCTTGAAACTGGATTGTATATCCTTACAATGTCTGTAAACTACCTTGATGTATAATTGACATCTGTCCAAAAACTGTCAACATTTTGACGTCAATGTTAGATGTCAATTTGATGTCGTATTGACATCAAGGTAGTCAATAGACATTAAATCGATTTGCAGTTTTGATTTGCTTTAATTTTTATGTTATTTTGGCATCAAGGTACCTGCTGGTTTTCTATATGATTGACAAAAGTATTTTTGAATGTGTGTGTGTGTGTGTGTGTGTGTGTGTGTGTGTGTGTGTGTGTGTGTGTGTGTGTGTGTGTGTGTGTGTGTGTGTGTGTGTTTGTGTGTGTGTTTGTTTGTAGTTATTGAGTACAGCCGAGGATGTGGCCAAGATGCAGGAAGAGTTGGAGATGATGAGGCCTCAGCTGGAGGAAGCAGCCAAGGATACTGTGATCACAATGGAGAAAATAAAAGTGACTATGATGATCCCAAATATGCGTCTAATGTAAACACTGAGGAATAAAACTCACACTTGATTTTTGATGATGTATTGCGTGTGTGTGTGTATAGGAAGACACAGTTGTAGCTGAAGAGACCCGTGTAGCAGTGCAGGCTGAGGAGACTAAAGCCACTGAAAAGGCTCGAGTAGCTCAGGCCATCGCTGATGATGCTCAGAAAGATCTGAATGAAGCACTTCCTGCGCTTGACGCTGCGCTCGCTAGCTTGCAGTCATTGAAGAAGAATGATGTCGTTGAGGTGGGAACATTTGGTAACATCTTTCCATAATAACGCAAATATTCAGGTCATGTCAGATTACATGGAGTGCCTAACTATTTATTTATTTTTGTTCTTTTACAGGTGCGAGCTATGCAGAGGCCTCCTCCAGGAGTGAAGCTGGTTATAGAAGCTGTGTGCATTTTGAAGGGTATAAAACCCAAGAAAGTTGCTGGAGAGAAGCTCGGAGAGAAGGTTGATGACTACTGGGATGCAGGAAAAGGCCTTCTGCAGGATCCAGGGAAGTTTTTGGAGAGTCTGTTTAAGTATGACAAGGTGAGGGCAAGATTTAGTTTAACGTGTTTTTAAGGATTGATTCATTAATAAAGGACAGTTCATTTTATTCAACAAAACATTAAAGAATATTTATATACTGTGATTTATAAAACGCAAGTTAAAGAAGTAATTAAATTTACTCACTGTTTACTCACCCTCAAGTGGTTTTAAACCTTTATGAGTTTCTTTGGTCTGTTGAACACAAAGAAAGATCTTTTGAAGAATGATGAAAACCTGTAACCGTTTAACTACGGAAGTCAATGGTTACTGATTTGCATCGTTTGTTAAAATATCTCCCTTTGTGTTCAAAAGGAAAAAGGAACTTCATGTTTGGAACAAATGAAGGGAGAATAAATGATGACAGAATTTTTATTTTTGGGTGTACTATCCTTTAATGGTTGCCAGCACTTTGAAAGTGGAAAAAAACACACAGTCAAGACAAAATGAATACCTATAGCCCCTGATAGTACATGGAGGTCTTATTAAGTAAAACAGTACAGTGAAGTCTTATTAAGTAAAACATTGTTTACAACATTATTAACTTTAATTCACATCCTTGGCAAACAGTCTCAGGTAGGCATGGGCCGGTATAAGATTCTGACGTTTATGATAACCTTGGATAAACATATCACGGTTTCACGGTATTGTGATTACTGCTCTAAATATGTTCTTTTTAAATGTCTGGGTAAAAAAACTAAAACTTATTTCCCTTTTGAACACAATATATTTTATTTTGAAAAGGATTTAAAATATTTTGGAGCAGTAAAAAAAATAATTCAGAATTCTGCTGTCTTCATTTGTTTCAAAAACATAGATTTCTTTACAAATTTACAAGACATCTTTGGATATAATGTTATCCTAAAAAAAGTAACTAAAAATCTTACACATACCTTAGAAACAGTATTACAGTAAATGTTGGCGGTTTTAAAACCTTGACTTTTCCAAAGTGCGGTATACCTTGAAAGTGGTTATCATTCCATGGCTAGTTCCAAGTGCATTAGATACACTGTAAATAATTGCTGTAAAATTTACGGTATTACTGGCAATTTTGGCTGTTACAATCACATTGTACATTATCATTTACAATTGTGCTGTAAAACTACAATACACTTGTAAAGGTCACACTTTATTTTGATGGTCCGTTTGTAGATTTTAGTTACATTGCATCTACATGTCAACTAATTCTCATTAGATTATAAGTAGACTGGTTGGGGTTAGGGTTAGCGTTAGAGCAAGTTGACTTGTACTTGTAAAATTTCTTATAGTCAGTTAAATGTCTGTTAAAGAAGCAGTATTAGCAGATATTAAGCAGACAGTCTACGAATACTCAAATGGACCATCAAAATAAAGTGTTACCCTTGTAAATTTTACAGTATTACTGGCAACCAACTGTTAGCAATTTTTACAGCGTACAGTTTGGAGCACAACAAGCTTTCTTGTTGCATAATTTACATAAGTGCAAACCCTTGCAGTTTGTTTTCCAATGGAAACGGAGAATATGTGTGTTGTATTGTTTGAATTTAAATAAATGATGTTTGTTTAAAGTTAAAAAAAAACACATTACAAAACTTTGATTAAAAGATGCTACAATGTTTACAAAGGATGTGATACTAAAGACTGGAGTAATGGCTACTTAAAATTCAACATACTGTAACAGAAAAAAAAATGACATTTTAATCCGCTTGTTAAGTGTGATGTAACGCGAAGCAAGTGATATGTCACACTGTATGGGGAGACAAATGGTAATAATAAACATTTACAAAGTGCTCTAATACTTTAGAAAATCGCGATCAAAATATACCATATATATATCCATGCTTAATATCAAATGGCCAAAAAGTGATGAATTTTTTTTTAATTGTTGAAATATTGGTATTTGTAATGCAGCAAACTCAGATATTGTTGTGTACACTTTGATTGCATATAAAATTCACTTTAATGTGTGATATGACTAGAAAGTGGTCATAAACGAATATTTTCTCAATTCAAATGAGTAGCGGCTTGGACCCGGAAACAGTATTTCATACGTCACGGATACGTCATGACTTAACAAGCGAGTATATCAAAATAGGAAAAATATCTCCAATATACAGTAAATACTTTTAATTGTACTGTTTTTCTCCTAAATATATGAGGCTAAGTAAGCATGGAATTTCTTTTTAGATATATTACTAATCTTAAACATGGAGTTTTTTTCTTCTTTTTTTGGGGGGGGGTTGTAAAATCTTACTAGAATCACAAATTGAAACATTTAAACCTTTCTCCCAGGACAACATCCCAGACTCAGTGATCAAACAAGTGCAGCCTTACATGGACAACCCCGAATTCCACCCTGACTCAATCGCCAAAGTGTCCAAAGCCTGTACTTCCATCTGTCAGTGGGTGCGAGCGATGCATGTTTACCATTTTGTGGCCAGAGCTGTAGAGCCCAAACGGGTAAGAGTTAGATTTTTTCTCCTAACCCATACAGAAATCTCATATATATGGCCATATATGAGCACATTTATAAAATTATAGCTGATATATTTGAACATATGTGGACCTATTTGTAATTCGAGTGGTTAAAAAAAATGCAAACAGCCATTTTTTGTATATTTTGAAATATATATCGCATAAAATGTATATATGTGTAATACAAACATGAACTTGTACCACTGAATGTCACTGTATATATGTAATTTGCATTTATTTCTATATCAGATTTCTATATGGGAAATTCATTATTTAGTAATCTCCTCAAATGTGCCTGCTTGTTTTTATATCAGGAGTATTGCCCATGTTTGCATGTACTGTAATTAAATCGTTTCTAAGCACTTTTCTGCCTAAAGCAAAGTTTAAAACGTTGAGAAAACAAACGAAAACTTATTCTAATCATTATTTGATTGTGTTTTTGTGTTGCTGTGTGTGCAGCAAGCCTTGCAGGAAGCTCAGGAGGATCTGGCTGTAACACAGCGCATTCTGGATGATGCTAAGGGCAAACTGGCAGCTGTAGAGGAGGGCATTGCCACGCTTCAGGCCAAATACCACGAATGCCTGGCTAAGAGAGATGAGCTAGATGCTAAATGCCAGCTGTGCGAGAACAGACTGATCCGTGCAGATAAGGTGTGATTGCTTTAAACATGCTTTATTATCATACCTTTGCTTCAAATCTTCTGTCTTACTATATTGAAGCTTATCATACATACAGTTCAGATATAGGATGTTGTTGTGTGTGGCAGCTGATTGGTGGTTTGGCTGATGAAAAAGTGCGCTGGAGTGAAACCGTACAGCAGCTGGAGTATATGGTGAATAATGTGGCAGGAGATGTGCTGCTCGCTGCAGGATACGTTGCTTACCTCGGACCCTTCACTGTGAGTGTGTGGGAGTGCGTGCAGCATGAAAAAGCACGCTGGGAAGAATGATGCTTGTATTTGAGCTCATTATAAGAGTAGTTGCTTTTCTAACAAATAAAAATGAACCCCAAATCAACATACAGTTCAAGTCAGATTTATTAGTCCTTCTGAATTATCTGTCACCCTGTAAAGAAGATTTGTTCAACACATTTCTAAACCTAATAGTACTCATTTCTAATAACTGATTTCTTTCATCTTTGCCATGATGACTGTATATAATATTTTACTAGATATTTTTCAAGATGCCAGTATTCAGCTTAAAGCGTGATTTAAAGGCTTAACTATGTTATATAGACAAGTAAGGGTAATTAGGCAAGTCAGTGTATAAAGATGGTTTGTTCTGTTAATATTTGGAAAAAATATAGCTTAAAAGGCCTAATAATATTGACTCAAAAATATTAAAAACTTTTATTCTAGCCTAAACAAAATAAATAAAACTTTCTCTAGATTATATATTATAATATTATAATATATTTTCTATGGTGTGGAGATACAAGATGTGCAGCGTCTGAAACTACAAATACTGGAAGCCTGTGCTGGCCTTTCTCGTGCGGTGGTGCTATCAGTGTGTGAAGAGTGGGAGAAGAGGGTTGCATTGACAATCCATCACAATGGGCAGCACATTGAACACATTTTATAAATGGTCAGAAAGTTGTAAATAACTCATGAAAAAATAAAGTTGTTTTTCTTGTGAAATTCCCAATAAGTTTGATGTGTCAAACGACCCTTTTTAATTTTTTAATCCTATTAAAAAAACAAAAGTTAGATCCAAGATGACCGACTTCAAAATGGCCACCATGGTCACCACCCATCTTGAAAAGTTTGCCCCCTCACATATACTAATGTGCCACAACCAGGATGTTAATATCACCAACCATTCCCATTTTATTAAGGTGTATCCATATAAATGACCCACCCTGTATAATATTATATGAAATACTCAGAAAAATGTTTTGCTCTGTTGGTCAATTTCTATTTGGGAACATATTTGAAAAAAAAAATTACAAGAGGGCTAATATATATGACTTTAACTGTACATAATACATTGCAATAATTAAAATTTGCATTCTAACAATAAAAGTCACATCTTTAACATCTTACTATGAGATTTCACCACCTGTGTAGTGAATAGACGTAAATATGCAATAAATAGTATTTTCAGAATAATAATTCACAGTTGACTGTAAGTTGAGCTGGGTCAAAAATGTAGTGTTGGTGGAAAAAAACAGTAACATTAGTATACAGTATAGGTTGCATTCATAACTGTTACATTTGGAATTTATTTAAAGAAGGCAAATAAAATCAAGCATTGATAAGCATTGCTTAAAGTACATGTATTTTAGCTACTGTAATAAATCTAATTGAAGAATATTCAGAATAGAAAAAGGAATTGGGAAACATTTTAGTTTATTATCATTTTACTAAACTAAAATCGTTTTACTCAAACTCTTAACTGTAAAGTGTAAATCCAAAGAAATTAGATTTTACAAGTATTCTCTGGACACTTTGGAAAAGATTTAAGTATGTTTCAGATTTATATTTTAAAAATGATAATCTGGAAAATATTGTTTGTTTTCTTCAGGGCGAGTATCGTTCAGCAATGGCTGAAGAGTGGCTCAGGGGTTTTAAAGATCTGGCGGTTCCTCACACAGAACAGCCCAACCTGATCAGTACCCTGGGAGACAAAGTCAAAATCCGCTCCTGGCAGGTCAGAAGCAAACAACATTATGTGCAGGGATACTGTATAAAGTCTGTGTAAAACTAGAAGGTTGAATATTGTTTATTTGAGTATGCTAATTATTAGGGATTATCTAATCATTTGTGTTTGTGTGGTTTTGTGTAGATTGCAGGCCTGCCGAAGGATAGTCTCTCTGTGGAGAATGGAGTAATTGCACAATACTCTCAGCGCTGGCCTCTGTTTATCGATCCGCAGGGACAGGCCAACAAGTGGATCAAGAACATGGTGAGCATGATGCAGAATTACAATAAAGCATTTTTCTAACTAGATGAATCAATTTAAAAAAAATTGAAGTCTTTAATGATCGTAACAACATGCATTTATTTGATCATAAATTACAGCAGAGACTGTGATATTTTGAAATATGATTACAATTCAAAATCATTTTATTTTATTTTAAATGCAATTTAATTTTCAGTTGTTTGTTTTTTTATTTTAAAAACAGTTGTGCACTTATTGTTTTTAATAAAAACTGCATTTATTTCAGTCTTTTTTATGTAAATAATTTGTAAAACATATTTGAAATACAAATCTTTGCATTATTAGAAATGCCTTTACTGTCCCCAAACCAATATAAATGACTTTTAAACAGTAATGCAACTTCCAGTGTGTTTCTGCCTTTGTCTCTTGTCTTGTTTTTGCAGGAGCGTGATAACAGATTGGATGTGATGAAGCTGAGTGACCGGGACTTCCTGCGTAGTTTAGAAAATGCCATCCGTTTTGGGAAGCCTTGCTTGCTGGAGAATGTCGGAGAAGAGCTGGACCCTGCACTGGACCCTGTGCTCCTACGACAGGTAAAAAAAAATGTTTTATGTGAATAAATCATTACATAAAACTAAAAATTATCCAACAGATACCATATAAAAATCTGTATTTTGAACTTAGTGTCTATTTTTAAAATGCTTGAATATCAGCTTTTAAAGGGCTAGTTCACCCAAAAATTCAATTTCCTTACCATTTACTCAGTGGTTCAAAACTTTAATGAATTTCTTTCTTCTCCAAAACACCAAACAAGATAATCTTAAGAATTTTACAAACCAACAGTCATTGTAATTAATAGTACGAACAAAAACATACCATGGAAGTCAATGGCTGTTTTTTCCAACATTCTTCAGATTATATTCTTTTGTGCTCAATAGAAGTAAGAAACTCAGTCAGGTTAGGCTCAAATGGAAGAACCATTATAATTGGTGAACTATCCCTTTAAATGATCCTTTTTGTTTTAGTTTTTCTTGATGTCTCCTCCTTGCAGACGTATACGCATGAAGGCAACACAGTTCTAAAACTCGGAGACACTATCATTCACTATCATGACGATTTCAAAATGTACATCACCACGAAGCTGCCAAACCCACATTACTCGCCAGAGATCTCTACTAAAGTCACTCTCATCAACTTCACCCTCTCGCCCAGGTAGTGCTCTTGCATTTCTTCAAACATCAAGCAAGTTGTGAGATCCTACATTTTCACCAGTGTTGTGTTTTTTGTATGTGTTCATGCGCAGTGGGTTAGAGGATCAGCTTCTTGGGCGTCTCGTTGCCGAAGAGAGACCTGACCTAGAAGGAGCGAAGAATCAACTCATTGTGAGTAACGCACAGATGAAACAGGAGTTAAAGGAGATTGAAGATCAGATCCTGTTCAGGCTGAGCTCTTCAGAGGGAAACCCTGTTGATGACGAGGAGCTGATAAAAGTGCTTGGAGCCTCCAAAGTCAAAGCTGAAGAAATTCAGGTGTGTTTGAGACTAGGTTCATTCATTCATTTGTGGGGGAAACCAGAGCACCTGGAGGTAACCCACACCAACATAGGAAGAACATGCAAACTGCACACAGAAATGCCAACTGGATGAGCTGGGACTCGAACCAGCGATCTTTTTACTGTGAGGCGACAGTGCTAACCACTGAGCCACAGTGCCGTCCTGAGACAAGATTATTTTAGTAAACAAAAACTAAGACTAAAACTATTGCTCAATCATTTCTCACTTTTTTTTGGGACAGCTTAATTGTTTTATGTTCAATCAACTTATAATTTGTAAAAAATTTAACTTTATTTTGTCTTGGAGCAATCTAAAGGAGTTAAGTGGAGCCCAGCATTTTTACAGTGTTGTTAATTGAAATAAAATTCAAAATTCACCCTAAATGAAAAAAATAATACTAAAATAAACTGACAAACTGGCAAAACTGACTGAATAAATTGACAACTGACATTTTTCACTGAAAAATGAACTGAAATAAAATAATTAGCAAAAATAAAAATTGTTTTCAGAATTCATAAGAACTTGAGAATGGTGAACGGTGAAGAACGGTGGAAAATCTGACTGTTTAGAGAAATGCAGTAGATGGCACTTTTAAAGACAAACTCATAAGTCAAGTGCATTATTATATTCAAAAACATATTTTCTTAATAAACATAAAAATGTGTCCTACTGTATATTTTCTTCTTTTGCTAAAAAATGTAAACTAGGCATGTTAAACTACATGTGCAGTATGATCTTTAATATGAAGTCGTTTGTTTAAGTTCGTTGTCATTTTTACTTTTATTCGTTTCATTTGTATGATTCATGTTCAGTGTTCAAACTATTATTTTATTTTTATTACTAAGAGGTAATAGGATATACATTTTAGTATTATTTTTATTACTCGTTTGTACAAGTGTTAATGTTAGCCGTGTAAACATTAAAATTCACTTTGGTCGACACTGGATGTGTTCTGTTCAACATAGGCTCATTCTGAAAACGTAGCCCTTTATACATTTCTGAAGATCGCGAATTATGCAGCCAGAGGTACATTGCGTCTTTAAAACGAACGCCACGGGGCAGTATCACAACGTTCCTTTTCCGTTCCTTTTCACGTTCCTTCCAACGTTCCTTTTCCGCTGTTATCAGTTTGTCCAGTGGCTCGATGCATATGTCGACGGATTTGTGATTGTAGAGCTGAATTGACCGTGACGACAGGGTTTGAGTCCGAGGCAGAACAGTTCCAGAAAGCAGGTAAGACAAAAAATTAAATAAAACAATCAGGTTGCTGCTAGGTTTTTTTTCTAGATTGCTTTTGAAAACACTATTGTTTGAGTTTAGGGAAGGAGACGGGTGGGTCAGTCAATCAGTCAGTCAGTCAGTCAGTCGATAGCGGCCTCTGTTGGATTTACATGAGAAGAGCTGGTGCGAATGGCACTCGCAATAGAAATTTGAGATCTCAAAAAGCGTACACAGCGGCCTCTGGTGGATTCGCTTAACAAAAAATGCAAAAAATGTAGCCCCTGGGATGTATATGGCACTCTCCAGAATATATATAGGGGTACGTAATCAAAATGAGCCTGGGTTAGTTTGGTTTGGTTAACTGAAAAACTAGAATTACTATAACTAATATAGCACGGTGGCACAGTGGGTAGCATGATCGGCTCACAGCAAGAAGGTCACTGGTTCGAGCCCCTACTGGGTCAGTTGGCATTTCTGTGTGGAGTTTGCATGTTCTCCCCATGTTCGTGTGGGTTTCCAGTTTACCCCACAGTCCAAAGACATACGGTACAGGTGAATTGAAAAAGCTAAATTGGTCATATATGTGTGAAGGCAAGAATGTATGGGTGTTTCCTGGTGTTGAGTTGCGGCTGGAAGGTCATTCATTTTCTTGTCCGCTTAGTCCCTTTATTAATCCGGGGTCGCCACAGCGGAATGAACCGCCAACTTATCCAGCAAGTTTTTACGCAGCGGATGCCCTTCCAGCCGCAACCCATCTCTGGGAAACACCCACACACACACTCATACACTATGGAAAATTCATCATTTCAATAAATCATCTATTATATAAATCTAATACGTTTTTTAAACCACTAGGCTAAAGTGACTGCAGCTGAGGCAACGGAGAGGGACATTGATGCCACACGTCTAGAATACGTCCCAGTGGCCGTCAGAGCCCAGATCCTCTTCTTCTGTGTGTCGGATCTGTCAAACGTGGATCCCATGTACCAGTACTCTCTGGAGTGGTTCCTGGGTATTTTCATGGGTGGCATTGTCAACTCAAAGCAAGCAGGTAGAGAACATACACTTATATTTCATATATTGGTAAGAACTGGTTAAAAAAAAAACAGTAGTTCAAAGGCCTCCTATTTTGTAGTTTATAAACAAAAATATTTTTATAAATAATAATTTATTCACAAAATATATTGAAAAATGGGTCACACTTTACAATAAGTTTGCATTAGTTAATGTTTGTTAATGCATTTACTAATATGAACTAATCATGAACAATACTTGTACAGTATTTAATATTCATAGTTATTATTATTATTATTATTTATTAAACATTTACTTTAACATGAACTAACAATGAACATCTATCGTTAACGAAGACGAGTAAATACTGTAATAAATGTATTGCTTGTTGTTGTTGTTTTTTTAGTAAATACATTAACTAAGACAACCTTGTTGTAAAGTGTTGTGGATATTGGATAGATAAAAAATAAAAATAAAAAACTTAACCCTTAAGTACTGTTATGTAACCTCAGTCCTGATCAAACAACTTAATAGTTTAGAAAATTACAGGATTTTAACTCTAATTGCCAAATTCATAAATTATGTCACTAATTTGGTGAAAAAAAACACTCAAAAGGGCACATTTTCAATATATAGTAATTGTGGACTGGATTTTTTGCACTTTTTATCAAAGTCTTGGACATGTGAAACAACATTGCCTTTGATGCATTGCTTTGCTTTTTCTTCCTAATTTACTGTTGGTAGCTGTTTTTGCCCTATTGACTTCCATTATAACCACATTATGTTGATTGCAAAACCATGACACCATATAATCTTGCATTTTTGATTGATGGTGGTTTTCCCTGTTGGGAAGAGGTAAAATTTGTTATTTTTACTGTTGATCATCAGTTGTCACCATAAACCATTTAGATAGGGCTGTGCAGAAAAAAAAAAGCTTAGTTTCTGGAATTTATACGGAGTATAACAGCAAATAAAGTAAAGTGTTTATGTGTGTCTGTGAGTGTGTGAGCGTGACCTTTACGCACTTACCTTGATCTGTCTGTTCAAAATTTGCATCTCAGCTCTCAGAACTACATTGAGTAAATAAAAACAAAGACTGTGTATTTATGCACCAAAAAATAAATGTGGTTATAATGGAAGTCAATGGGGCAAAAACAGCCAAACAACAGTAAATTAGGGAGAAAAATTTTAAATTTAACACTGCATCAAAGCCAATGTCGTTTACATGTCCAAGACGGTAAAAAAGAAGGTAAAAAAGAAGGTAAAAAAAGGCAGTCCACAATTACTTCATATATTGAAAATACGTCATTTTGTGTGTTTCTTCACCAAATCAGTGACATCATTTGTGAAATTGGAAATGAAAGAGTTAAAATCCTGTAATTTTGAAAAACATTTAGTAGTGTAGATCTGGACTGAGGTTTATTAACAAATTTCTGCAAAATAATTTGAAAGAAATATGAATCTGATGATTTTTACAGCGGTTTAATTTAGTGGATGTTTTCATCCCTAACAAAACAAAAGGGTAGTAAATTTTAACCGCGCACAAGGGTTAATTATCTGAAGAAAGAAGAAATTTTATAGTTGTTTTAGCTCATTTTACTGCTAGCTTGCCTTATTTAAAAATATTTATTTTGTAGAAATTTTAGACTTTTACAGTAGCTGAGTTTCCACCACCCTGAGTTAATGCCCATTTTGTAGTATTGCATGTGATGGAAACTCCAAATTCCAAATAAAAATCACTTAATTTGCATAAACATTTTTATACTTCCTTGAAGTGGTTTTAGACTTCAGAATAAATACTGACATAGCAAACATTACACCCACATGTTTCCATTATACTTGCCTTGCTTACTGCTGGTTACTACGGTAGGTTACCAATACTAATCAGCCCGCTCTTACAACTTAATGGAAACTTTGAAAAAAATTGCTTCATATAGGTTGGAAACTCAGCTTAGTGTTTATAAAAAGTGTAAAATATTTATTGACTTTATATATTTATTTGTTTATTTTTCTGTATCCAATGTCTTGACTTCTCTTGCTACAGATGCCGTGATAGAGCGTATTTTGAACATAAATGAGTTCTTCACCTTCAGCTTGTACAGTAATGTTTGCCGCAGCCTTTTTGAAAAACACAAGCTGATGTTTGCCTTCCTCCTGTGTGCCAGAATCCTGACCAATGACAGCAAGATTGATATGGTTAGTGTAAAAAAAGTCTTTAACCTCATTTTTTGATTCAGCAAATATTTACTGACAATGTTTATAAGAGATTACCTCACAATCTCCTTTAAAAAGCTTGTTAAGTGAATTCTGTCTCCATTTGCTTTGATCTTTAGCACTCAAGCTGCTTTTAATAATGCTAGTGTTTATTTCACTTTAAAACCAAGAGCTTTTGTTTGATTGAGACAAATGAACAGTCAACTGTTTCGCCATATCATGGTCAGGATTTTAGTGATAATGAAAGAATGTGAGTTTATATATGTCTGTGTGTACAGGCTGAGTGGAGATACATGTTATCTGGAGGTCAAACACAGCAACAAACTCCTAATCCTGCTCCAAACTGGCTATCCACGAGGGCCTGGCAGGATATACTGGCATTAAGTGCCTTGCCCAGCTTCAGTAACCTGCCACAAAGTTTCTCCAAACACGAGTCTGCCTTCAAGAGTATATTTGACAGCAGCCAGCCACACAGGTAGCCACAAATATGACGTGATTATGCTTTTTTAGAGGAAAATTGCATTTTCTTTAGTGCATAATGTTGCTGTTTGTAAACATTTAATGTCTTCATGTTTCAAGGATCAACGTTTCATAATAGAAAGAAGTGGCCTACAGAACAAACCATTGTTATACAATGACTTGCCTAATTAGCCTAACTTGCATAATTAACCTAATTAACCTACTGTAATTAGGATAGTCTGAGGATGGTCTCTTACATTACTGTATCCAAAATGGTGAAAAGCCTTGGAGTAACGATTGATGACCAACTAAACTTCTCTGACCACATTTCTAGAACTGCTCGATCTTGCAGATTTGCACTCTATAACATCAGAAAGGTCCAACCCTACTTATCTGAACATGCAGCCCAACTCCTTGTTCAAGCTCTTGTTCTTTCCAGACTGGACCATTGCAACTCTCTACTAGCTGGGCTTGCAGCTAACTCTATTAAACCTCTTCAGCTGCTTCAGAATGCAGCAGCACGAGTGGTCTTTAATGAACCTAAAAGAGCACATGCCACTTTGCTACTCATCCGTTTGCACTGGCTGCCAGTTGCTGCTCGCATCAAATTCAAAGCTCTGATGTTTGCTTTCAAAGTGACATCTGGCTTTGCTTCTTCTTATTTGCTCTCACTTCTTCTCAACTGAGAACCAAAACAGGTGTGTGTATGTGGTGCCTGAAGGGAGTTGTAGTTCATACGGTGGCAAAACTGTAGTTCGAGTGAAAGTGAATCTTCTCCAGTGATCTATGAGGTTTAGATCGCTGGTGATCGTGACAAAAGTAATGTATTTACATGTTTATATATGTGAACAGAGAGCCTCTACCAGGTGAATGGGAAAGCCAATTAGACTCATTCCAGAAGCTGTTAATTCTGCGCTGTCTGCGAGCTGACCGGCTCACTCACGGCCTGCAGGACTTTGTGTCATCACAGCTGGGTCAGCGTTTCATTGAACCCCAGGTACCCACACATACAATTATTATTATATTATTTTTAGTCCTCCTGTGAATTCTTTTTTTAAAATATTTCCGAAATTATGTTTACCAGGATTTTTCACAGTATTTCCTTTAATAGTTTTATTCTGGAGAAAGTCTTATTTGTTTTATTTCGGCTAGAATAAAAGCAGTTTTTAATTTTTTTTAAAACCATTTTTAAGGGCAATATTTTTAGCCCCCTTAAGCAATGTTTTTTTGATAGTCTACAGAACAAATCATCGTTATACAAGTATTTGCCTAAATACCCTAACTTTCCTAAATAATCCAATAAATCTTTAAGCCGAATATAAGTATCTTGAATAATAGCTAGTAAAATATTATTTACTGTCATCATGAAAAAGATAAAAGAAATCAGCTATTAGAAACAAGTCATTAAAACTGTTAAAATAGAAATGTGTTGAAAAAAAATCTTCTGTTAGTTAAACAGAAATTGAAGAAAAAACACCACATATCATCATAGCGTTTTCATATTGCTTAAACAAAGAAAGACAACACATTGTTTATGTAAGAACTTAGCACTGTAACGTTTAATAAGCAGAGGTTAAAGACACAATTTTAATTCGCCCTTTAGCAGAAATTTGCATATTTTTGAGTCATACTAATGATGTTTTCCTCTGTGACTCACTGTTTTTTGGTCATAATTTGCCTCTCGTTCCAACATGTTTCTTTAGACATCAGACCTGTCTGTGGTGTTTAAAGAGTCGTCTCCCTCCACACCTCTCATTTTCGTGCTTTCTCCCGGAACCGATCCTGCTGCCGACCTCTATAAGTTTGCAGAGATCATGAAGTTTTCAAAGAAGATGAACGCAATTTCCCTCGGCCAAGGCCAGGTCAGAACATAAACAAACATGCAAAACCAAAACTTACACAAGCACAAACACAAACAAAAAATGCAGTTTTTTGATGTGTCCTATAGTATATGCCCTTTTAGTCCATTCAAAGTATTCACCCTTCAACCTTTGAAGCCTGAGATACTCTACATTTTTCACTAGACGAATGCTAATAAAAGATGACTTCCCACCCTAGTGCTAATTGTGTTTCTATATAAAGGCTACAGTGTTCTTTACCACCTACTATAGAACTGTGACATGGCCGTTCTGCAGTCTCACTTCAACCATAGAACAGGCAGTTTCAACATTACACTAATTTCATGATGTCAATTTAAAATTTATTTACTTTAAAAGTTCATGACTTTATAAGGACTAGTCTTTAGTGCATGTATTTTAACAGAGACACTATAGGCAAGGTTTGATAAACAGCAAATTAGTGTATGACTGAAATTGCATCCATTTCAAGCAGTGATTTCAACTTAAGGAGGGGAAAATAAGTATTGAACATGTCATGTTTTTTCCTGATAATATTACTAAAGGAGCTGTTGACATGGAAGTCACATGCATTGCTCAGGTGTTAGTTTTCAACACTGTGTAAAAATCTTGATGGTTCTATGGGTCTCGTTTGTCAAATCTGATCTTTAATTTGTATTTTAAATTGGATTAAAGTCAGGTGATTGACTGGGCCATTCTACAGCTTGAGTTTCCTTGGCTGTGTTGTGGATCATTGTCTTTCTAAATGTCCACCCTGCTTTCATCTTATTCATCCTTGTCACGGTCACCAGTTATCCAGCCTGAGCAGATCGCTGGTATATACACTGATCGCTAATGAACTACAAATCCACAATTTCATGGACTACAAGACCCAGTCATGCACCACACACTCTAGTTGCTGAGTCTTGTTTACTATTTGTGACATTACAATGCATTTCCTTTGTCTTGTTTTGCCATGTTTTAACCCTATCCTTGTCTGCTGCCTTCCTCTGATCATCTGCTTGTGTATCTGACTATGACTCTGGATTGCTTGTAAACATCTGTTTGCCCCTATGTTGACCACTGCTTACTTGACCTCTCTAATAAACCTGCATTTGGATCCGCACTTCCGTTGTCAGTGTCATATCGACTATGACAATCCTGCTAATGTAGATGTTAAACTGAAGCAGCTAATATTCGCTTACAATGAGGAAGGGCAGAGGGTTGCTGAAGAACTACTGAGAGATTTCAGCTGCAGTCTGGGCTTTTACTGCCTTTCTACACCTCCCTTTCTTCATGTGTTTAACACTTCCTCCCTGCACCATTTCATTTCATTAACCATAACTTAATTTGTAAACTAATTAGATTTGTTTTCTTTGCATATACTGTATGGATTTCTTTGGTTGTTACCAACATCTGGTGAATATGTCAAGTCAACGGCACCTTAAGAAATACGTTTTCTGAGAAAAATGGTGACTTGTTCAATACTTATTTTCCCCGCTGTAAATAATACAGATGCATCAATATGACCCTAAAGACTTACACAATCTACTACTAAAAGCAGAGCAAATCAAAATATTGTGTCATTTTTATCCTCATGTTTGGATATTTTTGCCTTTTGGCACTACAAATAAATGAACACAAGTGAAGAAATTTATCTCTTCTACCACATGTTGTCATTCTTTGTGCAAAATAGGTTAACAACTCATTTTTTAGCATTAAATAGTAAAACAAGTACTGATTAGTGATTAGTAATTCAAAGTGCAAAGTGCATGATTTACTAAAACACTAACATTCTGTAAATTTTGCATCTGAAACAGAAACTTCTATAAATGCTCTACATTTCACATTTTTCACTCTCTAACTTCCTTTAAATTTGTATAGTATTTTTTAATGCAAAAAAAGGGTTTCTCAAGCTGTAAATCTGGCCCTATAATATTTGTGTATAATTATATATAACTCTGACAGCATTTTTATATATCAGGGTCCCAGTGCTGAGGTCATGATGCACAGTGCCATGGAGAAAGGCAAATGGGTTTTCTTCCAAAACTGCCATCTTGCTCCCAGCTGGATGCCATCTCTGGAGAGACTCATCGAAAACATCGATCCTGACAAAGTTTGACAAAACTAGCTTTTTTTTATTATTGACTGTTTGTCTACGTAAAACTATGAATTTTTTATTATATCAATTCAATTCTGAAATTTTTGTTGTAGGTTCATCGGGACTTCCGGCTTTGGCTCACTAGTCTGCCAAGCAACAAGTTTCCCGTGTCCATCCTGCAGAATGGCTCCAAGATGACCATAGAGCCGCCGCGAGGCATTAAAGCCAATCTCCTGAAGACCTATGCCAGCGTTACTGAAGATTTCATCACTTCCTGCACTAAGGTTCAGATTAAAATGAAGAATATTTTCAAAAAGATTACATTTTGCCTTTATATGTTGGGAAAGTATTTACTGTCATATTAAGATTTTAACACATTTAAAGTGCTGTTCACAGGTTTGGGGTCAGTAAGATGTTTTTGTTTGCTTGTTTTTGAAAGAAGTCTCTTCTGCTCACTAAGGTTACATTTATTTGATCAAAACTGAAAAGTAAAACAGTAATATTATAAAATGCTGTATTAAGATCTAAAATCACTGTTCTGTTATATTATCTATTCTCAAATATATTTTATTATTATTATTGTTATTATTATTATTGTTATTTATATCAATATTAATAGTACTACTGTTATTATTATTATTATTATTATTATTATTAATATTATTATTATTCTGATGTTAAATTTATTTGTTTTATTTATTTATTTATTTTTTTTATATTCTAAAATAAAGGTATCATGGTTGCCACAAAACTATTAAGTTATGAAAGCTAATGTTAGAATAATTCTCAATGAATCATCAGCATTAACATAATAATAATAATAATAATAATAAAATAATAATAATAATAAAATAAAATATATTATATACAAAATGTGTGTGTGTGTGTGTGTGTGTGTGTGTGTATATATATATATATATATATATATATATATA